AGGCGCAGTAGTCACAGTCAAGCTTTGGTCAGACGCGGTCGGGACGGATCTGATTTTTTCCGCCACTTTGTCTCTCCGAGTTTTAGATTTCTCTTTTGCAAGAGGCAGTCTCTTACGTCGGGGCTGCTGTTAAAAGAGCTTCTTTACGTCTTTTGCAGTATTCCAGCTTGGGATGAATGAAAAATAAAAAATTGCCAGAATAAAATTATATCGGTACGGAAGTTAAAGTTGAAAAGTAGTAAACCCATGGAGAAAAACTGTTAAATCCGACAATGAGAACGAAATCAATCGCACAGCAAGAATGACGTCCAAACAGCCGAAAGTTCAAAGGGGGTCCCTCTTTCGCGCAGAGACAACACTCGGCCAAAGAGAAAGAGGATACAAGGGGGTGGTGTCCTCCTCTCCGGGCGCCCTATTGATTTTCTGGTGCGATACGGCAACCTCAAGGTGGAGCCAGCTTACCCTCCTCGACTCCTCGCACAACTATTTCATTCCCTCGTACGCGGTACTCTTCCCCCCCCCCCTCCTGCTTGCACAAGTACACGCAGACACACGTGCAGCAAACATGGCTGCTGGTTTCGAGACATGCACACACGCGCAAGTCTTGGTAGTGAGGGGCGCTCGCGTAGCGCCTGATACTGCAGCGATACAGTAGTGCCGAGGTCGACGGGCCGCCCCGACCGTGACGTTAGCCAGCCCCGTGTGCTTGTTTTGATTTTTCCTTTTTTTCCCCCCCGAGTGCGTCGTCTTGTGTGTTATCCTGAGCAAAAAGGATACGCAGTTTGCACGTGCTGGCGAGCCGCTACACCCAAGAACGACTCATCACCGCCAACGTAAGTATACTTTGATTTGTACATGATAAATGCATGTAGAAGTTTGTTGTTGCTGCCGCTGCCCAGGAGTTGAGGTTGGGGTGGCTGGTGGAGCACTGTTTCTGAATCTTTGGGTGAGGTTGGTGCGAAAGGAGTGGGGGCTAACTGACACTGCAGCACAAGTGGTGTCTGGTTTCGTATTTTCCACACGGCACTTTTCGCTTTTTCTTAAGCTTATAATAAGGGTAAGGGTGCGTTGAGTGTTTCAAATCCTCGTATGGTTGTAATTGTGGCAGTGATCAAGGAATGGGGTTATGGGGACGACCAGATAGTTGTTTACCATCGATTTGCGCCTTTGGCTCGACTTTTTGCAAACAGGTGCGTTGAACTATCGTTGATTTATGGTTGTTTACAAATACATTTTTTTTCAATAAAAACTACCCGGAAAGTCTGAAATTCTGTCATCAAATTGGACTTTATTTTCATCATCAATGAAAAACGTGAGTTTAAGCTGTCAAAAGGGTTTTTTTTTTCCAGAAATTTCGAGAGATGTCGCGTCCGATGTCACCGCAACAAAACAGTCGTTCCGCGTCGGCTTATCTTCATTGCGATCGCGTAACACGTCCGCGGTTGAACTTGGATCGCAATAACGAGATACGGATAGAAAGTGACAGTTTATACAGTTAACGAGTATCAACATGATAGTAACAGCCACGAAGCCAATTGAAAATAGAACGTCTCAAACGTGGTCACGGGTAAGATGTGGTCGGGCCACGCCTCTGCTCGCTTGGTTTTAATTCAATTGATCCAACACTGCAAGCGCATTGATTGGATTGGAGCTGTAATCTGGTTAAAGGAATTTTTGTGCCATCAAAACAGACAGTAAGTCTGCAACTGAGAAAGTAAATAATCGATGTGCGACGAAAGATTGGAGCCCCCGATAAATTGACGGATAAAAGCAAAAAATCCCAAGTAATTAAAAAAAAAACCTGCAGTCGAAAGCCATCCACTTGCTAGACAATTACCCGGTGGTCCACGTACCTACACGCATACGTAGTTCTAAAACGTGTGCGTATCGATTGCACGAGCTATTTTAATGCCGTAAATGCACACACGTTGGCTACGTGATGGTTTATTGCCGCAGCGGAGGTATAATGTGAGCTGCCTCGCTGTTTTGTCCGCGCACACGAGGGTTCGGTTACACTTTAGAAAGCGATACAGTGGCCTTTGTTTGCGCGCTATCGTCAACACTGCTCTATTGGCCTCCTGTTTCAATTGCGTCGCTCTAGCATCTCGTGACATTTTGCCGTGGAATGACTTTGGGGTTGGACGAAGGGACATTGTTTTTGTTGATGAAACATTTATCGACGCGTCAAATGCGTCAATCTCTACTAGGGCAATCACTGTGTCCCAGTACGAGATCGGTGTAACTGCAGTGGATTTAGAAATAGTAGGTATAGCAGGAGGGCTCACGTGAAACGCCGCAGTGTCTACACTCGTCGCTCAATAAAGTGCAACGTAGCGCACGGTGTATGCTTGTCGATGCAGCGATGCCTTATACAGTAAACACACGAAACATCGTACATTTGAATTATCAAGTTGTAAATTTTTTTTTTTTTTTTTTTTCAATTTGTCTTTAAAAACTTTGCTGTATTTGCCGATTAACACTTAATGACGATGCGCTAGAGAGTTTTGTCATCAGTGCTTAATTGTATTATTTCACAACGCTTCAAGTGCATTTTGATGAGGTCGTAAGGTGTTGGGAAAAAAATAATTGAATAGAGGCATTTAATATTTGGGTTTTAAGTGTACTTACATATGCTTTGTAGAACAAAAATACTGCAGTTGTGAAAGTTAAAGAAAAAAAAAAAAAAAAAAATTTCAGAATAAAACAGAAGGCATAAAGTACGGAGCAATCGAGCGATATACATGACAAAGATAAAAAGCGTTTGGTGCTACGGGTACTGAGAAACATTATTTTACCCGATAAAAAAAATGCAATACCACTCCAGGTGAGAGGCATAGAAAACAGCAGCCCGTTCAAGCCTAAACCTCGATCCCCACGACTCTCGGACTGCACAAAACTCCGCATAACCGCGAAAGTGGAACGTCACGCGATCTCCTGACCCTTTTTTTATTTATTCCTTACTTTCCTTCTTGCTCCCTAAGGTAATCGCGAAAAAAGCGGAGTAGCAAAAGGTGGTGCGAAGACAGGTGGGTGAGCCGTTGGGATGCCGCTGCACCGACCACCACCACCACCACCACCCCTGTTATACGTGAATATTTCACGCGAGCGTAGAAAATCCAGGCCAAAAGGGGAAGAGCCGAGGCTCACTTGCCGTGGCCACCTGAGGTAACATCGTGCGGTCGATCGATCAGGGAATTTCTATGAACCACCACAGGTGAAGGAATGATGAATTCAGGATTGGTTTGCATTTGATGTATATTTTTTTTTCATTTTTGGGTCGACAGTAGTGATAGAAGCAATTGCAACAAGTAGAAAAATCCAAGTTTGGTCAGACATAAATACATTTTTGAACACTTTGCTTATGGTCGGTATACATGTGTTTTTTAATTATTTTAGATATTGTAACGGTGATTTAAGTAGAAAGCTCCGAGTATAGTCAGACATCGGCAAACAGATATCCATTGATTATTTGACGGGGGAAAATCTACTAATGAAAGCTTAAAAATTTTAAGTTCCCCTAAAAATAAGAGAAGCTATTTGTTTGATGATTAGTAAGCTCCAAGTTGGAGAAGAGAAACTTGGAAAACTGTTGGGCGATTAACTTTCTCGTCCTAATTCGCGTGAAAAGCAATTTGGCACCAGCTTTAGTTTTCATGTTAGATGGGCTATCTACGAAATGGCTTGAAGTTGGCTCCTTGTACAACGATTACATTTTAAATCCATGCCAATTTCGGCAGAAATTCGTACGTGTAAGTATCTCGGAGGACCCGTGCCATTGTGTGAAGGCTTATTCCAATAGTGTACAAGGTTGTTGTGAAAACTGTTCTTGTTTTTTAGTTCTAGATGATTACAAGATAAAAGCATGTTTTTGATATTTAAATAGGGTATCAAAGAAGTAAAAATCAGACTACATTTTGAGAAAAACACTTTTTTTGAAGACCGAAATTATATGAACTGGCAAGATCAATTTAACCCTGTAAAAGAGAAATGTAGATAGATAGGTGGCTTATTTTGGCTTAGATCATATACTAGAGTTTGAGTTTTCGTTTTCAGCTTAAAAGAAGGAGAGCGAAAAATATTAGTAAGATTCACCTTTTTCTTGCATGCACGGGACCTATTGTTGCTTTGATAACTCGACACTTGAAGTACACTAACGAGACATTTACTTGTTACCCTAGATTGGTTTCTATGGGAATAGATAAAGCAAAAAGTTTAAGTAGTTTAAAAAAAATAAATAAATAAAGTACCATAAAAAAGCTTATAAACAATTGTATCAATGTATAAATGCTATTTCATACTTTTGTTCAATAATATACTGAAAAAAAATTGTAAATAGTTTTCTCGCTATTATCGAACATGCTTTCATCTTTGACGAACAATAATCAGAGTTCTTCCATTATAAAGACTAGTGCATTTTTTCTCCAACGAAAATTACCGAATTGAAAAACATCAGATTGCAATAAAGAACTCAAGCAACCAACAAACTTTGAACCGAATGGAATGTAATTCTTTTTAAGGTCATAGAGCACGTGCAGATCAATCTACAGCACCCTAATACTTTGTCCAAAATTTGTAATAGAGATTCAACATTGCAATTTCTCTGATAAAAATTCAGGCACCCCGAGAAAGTTATAACGACAAAAAAAAAAAAAAAAAAAAAAACCCACATGGAATCAGTAATATCCGAGGTGAGAAGGAAAAAGAAGATAAGTCTCGATCAAAACCCGTACTCGGATAGAATTAATAGCTCGCATTCCTTCCCCGGATCCAATTGAACTGCACACACACCCTTCCCCCCTCCAACCCAGTCGGTAAAAGCCCACCGTCCTCGCGCCACCTACATCCAGACATTCCCGAGCCGCCCCACTTCCTGGCAGCGTTTCGCAGCTGACGTCACTGCGGCACAACTACCCACTGCCCCCCGACCCAAGAGCGCAAGCCCGAAGCATCGATCCGGCTGCGCGCGCGTCGTCCCACTGCCACCGCCGTCCCCAGTGCACGAGAGAGCCCCGACGCGCTGCTGACGCAAGGAAGGACGGCTATAAGGGCCAGCACCTGCAGTGTTCCCCGTCCGTCCATCCCCGGGTGTGACACGTCACCACCACCATCATCACCATCGGCAGAGACCGAGCAGCCATGCCGTTCTTCTGCCAGCTCCGATGAAAGCTCCGCGACCTTGTGCGCAGCAGCGGTCAAGCGTCAGCAATTGAGGAAAAAAGTAAGAGCAAGCGAACTTTAAAAATAATAAACGGGCAGCCATGGGCAAGCCCGTGCCTCCGGAGGACCTGCTGATCCCGCCGCAGGACAACCGAATATGCGGGACGATATGCATCTGCCAGATGACCGCGGTCCTCTCATCGGTGGCCCTGGTCTACCTGACCGTGGCCATTTACATGCCCAGCACCCGGGCCTTCCAGTCCGGCATCAGCGAGACCCCGGCCATGTGCACGACCATACGCGCTGCCAACGCCGACAACTGCGACTGGGGCAGCTGTGGCGAGTGGTGTCTCTCCAAGACCTCCGGGCCCTGCGTTCAAATCCACGTGAACCTACGCCGCAATGGCTCGAGCATACTACTGGCCAATTGCACCAACACGACCAACAAAACGTGTTACGGCATTGACCAGGAGAATGCGAAAAAGTACAAGTGCATAGCCGATGAGTGCCGAAATTTGACGGGGACGTTCAACTGCACGACCGGGATCTGCATCAACATAACGGACGCGTTCGAGTGCATGTTCCACGACACGGATCCGCCCCTCAAGTGCTCGGGCCGCCGAGGCAAGATCACCTGCATCGACATTGACGGGCTGTTCAATTGCGTCCGTGGCACTTGCGCCAAGATACGCACCCCCTACAACTGCGACCGGCGCTGCGTCGACATACCAACGCGCAACAAAAATGTCATTCTCCTGAGCGGCGACAAGGTGTACCTGAGCGCGTGCGAGAGCGCCATAGACACCCTCACCGACAAGGAGATCTGGAACGAGAACCGCAACGACATACTCATGTCCTCGTGCTACGGCATCCACAACACCAGCCTTGGGGTCGAGGCGGTCGACTGCATCAACGGCTCGGTCCTAGAGAAGAACCTGCTGACAGACCTGACCAACTTCACGTACCTGTCGTACCTGAACGTGTTCGCGACCAAGCCCCTGGACGAGACGCGCCGAGTGACGCCACCCGAGGCCGACCTCATCATAGCCAACGAGAGCCGGCTGATGATCAACCTCGAAGGTTGCGTCAACACCCTCAGGGACGAGTGCAAGGCCTTCCTCCAGGAGTACGGCAAGGACGGCTCGGACCACAACGCGAGGGCGCGCTTTCCCTGCTTCTACGCGGAGAACCGGCCCGAGGTCGTGGTGTCGCGCTTCAACCTCGAGTCGACGTACCGGGAGTTCCTCATCGCCGTCATCCTGCCGAGCGTCCTGTTCGTCGTCAGTTGTCTCACCCTGATACTGTGCCAGCGGACCGTGGTCGTGGGCGACGACGCCAAGATGAGGTTCAAGGGCACGCCGGGCGCGGCCATCGAGAAGAGCGCCTCGGCCGCTCTGGCCGACCCGGGTGGCGGCGCCGACTCCGTCACGCTCTGAGATCCGTCACGTAAGGCAACCAATGACACGACAACTACCGCGACGATTTTCCAACCCCCTGCCCACACCACACCCCAACGAGACGTCGTTGACACCCGCGCTCGTACGCCCTCCGCGTTGTTAACTGTACTCCTGGTACTGTTACTTTTGCACGACATCACCACTAACATTTTGTCGTTGTTGATGGTTGGCGAGATGTTGCGTTGTTGTTGTTGTTGTCATCACCGTAGCAGGTTTCTTCCGTTTCAGATTTCGAATGCACGCGCTATTTTTTCATCTCTCTCTCTAAAGTTATATTTATGATACTCGCTGAGCTTTAGGAGCCAAATTGCCTGTGGACTGTATAAAGGTTGGGTGCGACACGCGACTTTCTGTGATGATGATCGTTAATTCGTGTTTAAACCATTGCAAATTGTAATGATAATGTAGTACAATTGGCCGAGTAAGAATAATCTGTGTGTGCGGCTTGGGGGGGTAGTTTTGAGAGAGGAATAAAAGTTTTGCTGGCACAAAGTGTTATGCCTATATGTTGTACTCTGTGAAAAATTAACCAATGTGTTCTTCAAAAGTCAAAGACTTGGTACATATTTTTTCTTTCTTTCTTAGGATTGAGGATAAGAGACACAGCAATAAGGTATATATTATTGTGTATATTTACGATTATATACGTATGTTATTGTTATGTGTTGTTCGTTACGAATTAAACTGCCAAAGATCCTTTTTTTTCTTCTCGATTTTTACTACGTACGATTTGTGTATACTGTTGTTGTATAATATACTTGCCAGAAATTCAACAAGTAAAAATTGGATTATGCGTACATTGGATACAATAATGTGAAAATTCAACTATTTTTTGATATTGTGATAAAACCTTCGTAATAATGTGATAAAGTGTATAAACGAAGCAAGTAGTAATTTGGGGAGACGTTCACAAGACATGCGAACGAAAAATTTATTGAAACAAAAAAATAAAGTAGCACGCACAGCATTATTTTATCAATATAGGATAAATCCAACGTACGTTTGTCACAAGTAAAATACAATGTGTTTGATGTTACATTAGGAAAAAAAAGAAATTACACGTAAAAATAGTAAGCCACATGCCTTAAAACTTTTTATATGTAGAGAGACGCTAAAGCACATTTCTCGCAGTAAAGATATAGGGTTTCTTGACGCGTCAAAAGTGTAATATGCACCGACAAGCATAGGAGATTATATTTTGTAAATTGAAGACATTCTATGAAAACAGATACGAAAGATGAACAACATTTTTGCCACACTCTTGCCCTAGACATCGCTAACGCAAGGAATTTATCAAGCAAATTTCAACACGTCGCTGTAATTATGAAAATAAATACAAATTTTTTGAATTAACTGTAGTCTCGATTCTTCTTTTGTCTTTTGTCAAAATTCCAAAAATGCGTTTAAGCAATTGAACGTAAATTCCTATCAACTGTGAATTATTTCAAGCGTTTTTCTCAACAACTCGATAATGCAAACAATAACCTTGAAATAATTGAACGAAAAAGCATTTCGGATTAATTGATTTTATTAAATTGCACACTACAGCCACTTGTGTACTTTTGATGAAAAAATTATTTCATGAATAATTCATACCCACTTAATTATTTACTTACTCCAGCCTGAAATCAGGTTACATGCACTGGTTGATAAATAATTTTTTAGAAATCACAAAAAAAAAGAAGCATTCCTACTGAATCGTAGAAGGTTATCCGAGTTTGTTTCGTACCAACCCTACATAAGAAGTGGTGTAAAAATTTTTTCGAAAATAATAATTTTTTTAAATAGCCCGATCTTGGTATCCAAAACAACGAGTTACCGAGAGTACTGCGATTAACTAATTTGCAACTTCCTCCAATGTACCGAAAGAAATGTTGTTTGCAAAATTTTCCATGAAATACGTGCAACAATTTTTCACGTAACATCGACCTAACCATCACGAACGCTGACTGTAAAAGTACCATTTTATACCCACGGCGCTATCGATTATCGCGAAAAGCGCGCTCGCGTGCAACCAACAACTTTGCCGATTCATTACATACGTATGCGATAACTTTTTTTTTTTTTTTGCTTCTCCTGTTTCAGGCATTCCCCTCCTGGAGGAGAGCCCGACGCGCCAGTCGATATTCTCTCTGCGTGGGCACTACTAAGGTACGGGCAGGGGGGGAACGCGTGGCTCAAACCATCAAATTTGCATCGGGTGTATTTCGAACGACAAGGAGTCTGGAGGGACTACAAGTTTTGTCCCATCGCCGTCACTACTTGTGAAACTTTTTTGGGGAAAACAACAAATTTATCATAAAAACTGGCAGTATTTATGTTCCAACGCTACTACACACAGCCTCACGCGCAAACATTAACGAGTAACATAACATAGACAACCGAAAAAAGGGGAGGGAAAAAAATATTAAAATTGTAAAAAAAGCAACCTATTAGCCATTCTTAAAGTTCCGTCGTCTCGTTGAAACCGTAGATAGACGACCAAAATGCGATTCTCGTAGAACTCGTCTCTTTGTCGAGGAAAAAAAAAGGGGAGGTGGGGTCGGGGGAGGGGAGACGATAAAAAAAAAAGAGCCCACGGATGATCGAGTCGTGACGAAAAACCGCAGCGCGAGACAAAGAGAGCCGCACCACAGCAGCAGCGGGTGAGCCCAAGCAGCCGAGACGGGTCCGACGGGCGTAAGTCGGGGGGGCCGTCCGGTGGCCTCGGCGGCCAAGCGTCGCTTCTACCGTGCCCTGCGCTACGGCACCGGCTCGTCCGTCGACTCGGACGAGGCCGCGATAATGGCCGAGGACGAGCTGGACGAGCGCTCCAGTGGCCGGCGCAAGTCGAGCTACGCGAGCAACCCAGCGGCCAGCGAGTCCGGCACTTTGGCGGTCGACGGCGCCAGCAGCAACGGCTCCGAAGTCCCCGGTACACCAGCCAGTGGCGTCAAGGGCGTGCTCGGTGGGGTACTGCCACCGGAGGAGGTCGAGAACTTCAAGGTCAAGGCCAAGTGGTACACGTCCATGTGCCTCGGGACCACGGCCATACTCTCGGTCTTTGCCTTTCTCTTTGCCATACCGTTCGTCGTCGAGCCGGCCATTTCTACCATACTGGCCGACTTTTCGCCCAAGCCCATCACTTGCGCCACTACGAGCCACGTCCTCGCCGAGGGACTGAGAAACTGCTCGTGGTCCAGCTGCAGGGAAGGTAAAAGACCATCCTCCTTTTCTTCTTAATCTTCCAAACTAGGTCTTTGGTGAATCATCCATCGATGACTAATTCCATTCTACTAGTCTGAGTTTATTTTATCTTATTCTCTTTCGTGAGTTTACAAAGTTTGCAAGGCAGTGGTTCTTGTACCGCCCTCCCCGGCTAATGGGGTTCGAAATGTCATTTCAGGTTGCACGGCCGCGGTGACGAGCTGCCACCAGATTCGGGTGAATTACACGAAAATCCTGTACGAGGAGTTCCTGACGAGGCCGGCAGGGGTGGACATCGACTGGGACATGAACGACACCAAGTTCTTCGTCAACGCCGAGGGCTGCGGTTACCCGGACACAGGAGTCGTTTGCTCGATATTCGCCGAGAAGTACGGCCGCGACAGCTACGGCACTGTCTTCCCCTGCTACTACAGCAGAACTTACCCGGAAACCGTTGTCTCGAGGTATGCGTGGCTCCGATAGCATGTAGGAGTTATACAATTGCGGATTTATCGACGATAAGGGTGAATTTTAATGAAACAACAGCAACAAAAAATTACAACGGTTGATAAACCCTGTGATGTTCAAAGATTTCATTGATTTTCCGTGTACACAATTGGATTTGAATAGAGTAAACGTGTTCACGCAATTAGGATCCTCCACTACAGCACCCACACCATGTGTGAATGTCAATGTTTGTTTTAACGCATTTCACCCAATACAACTCAATATAGATTACAATAGTATCGAAAATAAATCAAGCACCACATGAATAAATTTCCTCTTAAAATCGATTTTTGTGCATTTCTAAGGTACTCGTGGGACGACACTCTGCGGAATTTAATCCTGGCAATAACAATCCCGATTTTGCTGTTCCTCCTGTCGTTGGGTGTACTGTGCTACTGGTACTGTCCGCCGGTGAATAAGCACTGCGGTGGCAGCAGGAGCCTCATCGACAAGTACGAAAGAAAGGAAGAGTAAGTAACGTGTATGTATGCAGTGCCCCCGAGTGGCTATAGATGGTTTTACCATTTCATGCTTTTTTTTTAGTCTTTATTTTATCGATGAGACGCGTATGTTACTTCGGGGAAAGGGAGAGACGATGCCTTTATTTTACTTGTCTTTACTGTAAAGCCTATAAATACTGTACGACAAAGAAATGACTTTGTTTTATTTTTTGTACGCAAGCTTTTGAATAAAGTTTCTGTAAGAAAAAAAAAAAAGAAAAAAAAAAAAAACGAGTCCATTAGACTTTTATTTTTCAACCGTTGAATGGTTTTGATTTCCACCTGCACGACGCACGCCAGTGTAGATGAAAACAAAAAAAAAAAAATTCTCCAAAGCTGAGTCCTGAGCTAACATACCCGCCAGACCAAAGCAAAAGAACCGCAGCGGCAATAGCTTCGCAAAAGTGACCGGAGGATCCCTTCCGTCTTTTGTTTCTATTGTTTTCCAGTATCCTGGAGGAGGAGGACTTCGAAGAGGACGAGGAGGAGTACTGACTGTTGCCCAGGGCTCACCCCCCGGCGCGGGAGTGACGCCAGTCGAACAATCGACGCCACGAGTATGGACGTTAAATGCAAGTCACGAGCTCCTCCCTGCTCCCTTCGACCGTATATAGTTTGGGCGCTTACGCACGCTATTCGCACCGCCATTGCGTGAAACACCACGTATATGATAACCGAGCGCCGCAAAAACTTCATCGTCACGTGTAGACGGACGGTCTGATGCAGAGACAAAAATAAAAGAGAGTTTCGTCGAGGTCTGCGAGAACAACGAATCCGGATGTTTTTTAGCAATAAGCTTTGTTATCGGCTCAACGGCGCCTGCGATTTGCATAATTAATTCTGATTGCTATAGGCATATCTATATATACGTTCGACAAGAGAGTGGTATCATTTATAATGCTACTATGTTTGGAAGATTGAATTTTCTTTCTAACTAAGTGAATGATAGAGTTATTTGCAATATTGTTAATGATGCGTTTTTAACTATTGGTAATATTTTTTTAATTAATTAATACGTTCAAGTAATTTGATGAACATTTAATGAATACTTGTCAAGTCTGTCGCTGCAAATTTAACTTCCAACTCTTATTATTAATATTATTATCCTCGAACATAACAATCTTATTGATAAACGTTAGGTTTTTTAATAAAACTTTCGCGTTTTTCGAAAGTCACGATAAAATTGCATTTTCCAATTGCCAAAAGTATTGTTTACGAGTAAGAAGAGTGAAAATAATTATAATGATGAATCTGTCCAATCGCAATGCTGCTCAATGCAAAAAGAAGTACTCAAGACTCAATCATTTCTGTGTAGGTGAAAATAGTGAATGTGGGTGCGCGTATGTGTGTACAAGAATCGAATGATGGGTAATACACAAGACATCGAGTTTAAAAGGAAAAAAACCGGGGTTGGTATGTTTTATGAGATTAAGAGACAAAAGAAAAAACTTAGCTGCGCCTTCCTAGTTAATAAAACTAATAACAATAAAAGCAACAAATTAGATCTATAGTTTTAAAAAAAAGCATAGGTTAAGCTCATATTTACGCAGCGTCAAATTACTGCTATTTGTCATCGAGAAACGATAAAATACAGACAAATCCGGAATTTGACGTTGCATTTATGTTGTGTAAAAACTAAAGAAGTCAGAGGAGTAGTAAACTGTCTGACTATGCTGTGCGTGAAACTGGAACGTTTGTGCGACGTCGAGCGACACTGGAAGAAAATATTTGTTAAAAATAAGTAAGAAAAAGAGGGTACCCGTAAAAATGTAGATAAAGATAGCGCGTTGCATGCGCTTTGTTCTGTCCATTGTATCGTTTAAAAATCAAGAAACTAATAATGATATTTACACAAGGTCATTTTCGCGCGAGAAGATTCCCATACACAATAAGTAGATCTCAAGGATATATATATATATATACATTGTTAGGTTAAGTTTTGCCTGTGGATATTATTGATGATTATATTATCGTTAAACTATAATGATGTAATGAAAATAATATTGTTATCAAGACTTTTGTACGTGGCCGCCGCGCTGGCGCCGTGGTTTAGAAAAAAAAGAAAATATATATATATATATACACATTACAAAATAAAATACAACAATAGACAAAAAAGAACGTTTAGTTTTTAACTATTCAATTAACTTTTCACTTTGTTGAAATTTGTGCGACTCGTCCTATACTTCGAGATAAGCTGCTCACATGTTTGCTGTGAATTGTATTGTTAATAATATAAAAAAGTACCTGCTTTTAAGAAAATTAATTCAGTTTAGAGTCTTTGACAAACTATTTCTTATGTCATTTTATTAGCCATGGATTTTCATAAGTTATTGGCATTCATTCAACACAAGGTGCGTAAAAATGCCTTATTTCCTCACAGCTGGAAAAATGTTAAAAAAAGTTAACACACTAATCCAAGGTACCTAAGAATCAGCTTATTTAATAATACACTTATGCGTAACGTAAGATTATGCGAGAAAAGTATAAGAATTAATTATAAATCATGTGTACGTTAAACTGCTATAAAATGTATACGGGCGCTGGTACATAATTTATGAAGTCAATGATAAGTTAATTGTGAATTCCCACAACGTTAAGGCTGCTAAGATCTTTTTAGCAATGCATGCAGGATTTATCGTGCATTGCACTTCTTTAATATAATTTGCGAGCTACAAATATATTTGTAACAATAATTTATATTTGTACAACCGATGTCGACGTACCTTAAAGCATTACAAATACTTCATGATTGAAAATTTATGGGGTATGAATGCGTCCAGGGAAAAGTAAATACTGACAGTCAGAAAAAAAATAATATTATGCCATACACTTTTTCCAAATTTTATTACATTGTAATAATTTAGCTTCCTTGAAAAAAGAAGCTTTTTGTACGAGCTTAAACGGAAATACCAATAATTATCGCTTAATGAAGCTGGAAATTCGACAAAACTGAAAATTCAATTTAACTCTTATCAGTGCAAATTCCAGTAAATCTAATTAGAAGTGCCTATTTATATTTTCTTGCAAATTTAAGTTAAATTTAAAAAAATACAACCTTAATCAACAAATTTTCAACATAAATACACTCGAAATACAGAGTAAAATTGTTTAACTTACTATTACAAAAAAAAATATTGTATTGGAAATGTAAAAACTGATATGTGGCTGCCCATAAATTATTAGTATAATTTTTTTTTTTTATAACTATTAATTATTATTAGTAACATTGTTACTATTATTTATAATACAATAACTACTGTTCTTATGATTGGTTTTTTAAATTATTATTATCATTATAGTTTATGGTACTTAAATAAATTATATGTTGTACACTATGCGACTATTGAATCGCATTGCCTTCTGCTATTCTGAAATTTCTAAGTAATATCAATTACTGCTGTAATCTTCGATTTATATTTTTAAAATACGGGAATTATATACTCACTGTATAATTATATTTACTATTGGTATTTTTTGCAATATTTTCACACGTAATTTTCTAATCAACCGTCAATTTAGTAATAGTTTGCTGTACTTACTATTCGACAAATTGACACTCACTCCCAAAATGGCTTGCGATACTTCCATGACTATATAATATTGCTCTTTTTTTATGCTGGTTTAGTCAATCGTTGAACAAGCGTTTGCATATTTTTATTGAAAAGCTGTAAATATTCACATTAACAAAAGACATAGACTTTAGATATGTATTTTTGGCAGATTGGTTTTACCAAAGTTGAAGGCTTTAATGTTTAAATTCAATGAATTATTAATAAGAAAAATGAACGAATTTAAAACTAGTTTAAGTTAATATTTAAAAGCTGTACTATTATAATTCAAGGATTGAATTAAAAAATATTTAAAATATAGAAACAAATTAATGAGAATAAAAAGGTTTAAAAAGTATTGAAATCCGTACAGATTGTTTATGTAGAAAAAGGTATTTTTTAATCTGAATGAAATAAATGTTATGAATGAATTAAATAATTTCTATAAAATTGTATTATTTTCGCAGGAGTATAATTTATTCAAAAATTTAAAGTATTACTTTGTTAAGATTCTAATAATATCAAACTTTTTACCAATACTTTTCATAAGATTCGAAATATTCATATACTACTGACACATCGATATAATTTCTGTTATAAACATTCATGATCTAATTGTTTAAATATAAGTTTATTAATATAGAACTACTATAACATTAAGCAAACATAATAGAAGTTTACAGATAGCAGAAAAGTTCATTACCATGATTTATAGGCGAGAAAATAGCACGAATGTCGGGATTTTAAAACTACATTAAAAACACTCATCCGTAAAAAAAAATATGTGACTTTGAAAACAATGTAACAAGAAGTCAGAAAATTATTTAATCTCTACTGTAAAATTATTACTATTCCTATTTAATGGATACAGGGACAAACTGGTATGTAAAAAAAAACGAGATAGTATATTTTATAAGCTCATAATTTTTGAAATCACAAAGTCGTAATCGAAAGCAGCACCGATTTTATAAATGCACCAACTCTCACTGAACAGACAATCTTTGTACTTTCGAGCATTCAATGCCTAACATATACGATACGCAATATTGTCTTTTTGCATCATCTTTTACCTTACGAGGTTTTATTATTATTTTTTCTTGCATCTTCTCAAGTAATTGACTGAAATTCGCTAAAGATCTCCGGATGATGATGATGAGGTTTCAAGTCGATCGTCGCCGAAAATAGTCTTGTTCTAGTGCCAAGAATAATAAAACGCACTCGAGTTCGCTGCTCACGCAGGTATGTATGTGTATGTGTGTGTACATGCGAAAAACAACGAAAATGCTAACGTTGATTAACCCGAGGTGCAAGTAACTGTTTGAAAAGTCGCGAACGCAGGATACGTTAAGCGCATGAATGTGTACCTAGTAACGAAATCGAAGTATCGAAATTTCAATGGTACGCGCTAAACAAGGCGGAGGAAAGAGAACTTTGATTCATGCCTCGTCGAAGAGAAAGCGCATTGTTCAGATAGAGAGAGAATCAGGTCTGCGTTGTTTATTTGAAACGAAAAATCACACGATTGTTTGTCGAACTGATATGGTTTACACTTCTCGAATAAAGAAACATAGAAGCTTGCAAGTATCTTGATTGTTCGTATTTATTCACCTTTACCACGATAACCTTCTTTTTTTCTTTTATTTACATATTTTAGTGCAAAACACCGTCCTCTGAACATTTTTTTTCAACAATCGGTGCCTTTGAAATATTCACGTAAAGATTCGCAGGAAAAAACAAGAGTCCTCATTATACAGCGGCATAAAATAGTCGCTTATTACTGTATACACTTTTACGTATACACCCACACATGGATTGACGAAGGTATTATCTAGGGGCGATTCGCTTGGGTCGTTCGAAGCGAGGGATCGCCATAAGTGGAGCTCGACCTCGTGGTGCGCGGCATGCACCGAACGAGTACGTCCCACCCAACTCGGCTGTATCTACTAGGTCAGCCAGCCGGCGCCACCCTATGCACTCCTAACCCAAAGCCATGGCGTCGACTATACGTGTACGCGAAATGCATGGTAAAGGTGTGTACGTACATATGGAGCAGCCGGTGGGTGGAAAAGCACGATGACCCTCTTTGTATTCTTCTTTCGCTGTAGCTCTGGCGCTCTCGAACAGCAACAAGCAGACACGCGCGCTTTTTTTCTTTTTTTTTTTTTCCTCTTTCGAGAAGAAAAGGAACGTTCATCCTTGGCAAATTTAAAGGTCGTACGTGCTGAATTCGCTCGTTTGACTCTTGCTCAAGTGATATTCCATAGGATTAACGGATAAAAAAACGCTTATGCGTATACAGTGTCAATAACGATATTTATTTCTATTTAATTATAAATATGTACCTATTTTATGTGAATGAAAAAAAAAAAAAAAAAGATGCATTACTGGTTGAAATTCCATGTAATGTGCTAACTAAAGTATCACCAGTTGGTATCAGGGATCCTTACAAGTCCTTTTACTTACGCTACAAGATACAGTAAATCCACAAGAATCGAATAATGTGTAGAAATAACAGGACACTAGAACTCATATCTCTACCATCCAGTCAACAGGGGTGGATGACATTTGTCATAAGCACATATTATAAAAAATAGCCATTCTAGCTCGGTATATATCCCTTGCCGATCGAGTGCAGTCAATCATTGGATTGAGAAAATGCTCGATCGACAAATGACATTATTCTCCTTCCCTCGGAACCAAAGCATAAACCTTCCTTCCCCCCCCCAATCCAATAATCATAAAAAGAGCCAGTCGGGCGTATAAATCCGTCCAACCCCATGCGGAGTCCGGTAGACAGCATCAGCATCGGTACAGCACAACCGGTGTATCTCCAGCAGTACACTGCCCTACATACACCCCCCCGAACTGGCGCGAGCCGGTTAACTCTGGCGAGCGCGCCTGCGCCCCCAACGTACCCTGGATCCCCCAAAGTCCGCGGTACCCCCTCCACCCGCGAAAACACCTCGTACATACTCACAGGAGAAAGGGGGCTCGGAGCCTCGCGCACGATGTTTTGAAACGGCAGTCGGCCGAGTCGTCTCCGGGCGCTCAAGTCTCCGTAGTCGTGGCCTCGATCGCTCGAACTGGCCCACAAGGAGCTCCTTCAGCCAGCCCCCGTTGTCCTCGGGTCCTCCACCGGTCGCGGGGGAGGAAAATGAGCGGAGCTCGTTGTCTCCGAGTCGCGCGCTATTATTGCGTCATGGACGGAAACGAGCCGAGGTAGAGGGGGGGTACGTCGCGTCCTTGGGGCTACGCGGAAAGTGCGTGCGCGGGCGTTAGGGGGGGGGGTCAGCTGTTGGCGCGGGTGTATCTCGGGGGACGCCACTCCACGGGGAGAGGAAAACGCCGGAAAGTTGGGAGGCTCGTGGTTACCGTGGGGGAGGAGTTTTTTTTTTTTCCTATGGTGGACTGCTCCGAGCCGACAACGCGACGTTTACGCACATGCGGGGGACGTTGCCGCGAGAGCGTTGCTGTGTTTAATTTTCTTTTTCCTTTACATCGGCAGCCGGGAGTTTAGCGCTCAGTGTGTCTCTGTGGATGGGGGTACTTTGACTCCATTCAATTAAGAAATGACCAAGGACCGTGAAAAGATTTTGATGTAAATATACACGCGATTTTTGCGCGATGGAGCTGGTTTTCTTCGATTGATACGTCTAGTAGGGATATACATTTGAGGATGTATTTACAAATGACAAGAGTTTAATGATGCTGTTGCTGCTGATTTTCAAATATATTCATGTGGTAAAGGTACGTATACGCGCATCACTTCGTTTGCGCTACGTTAGTTACTTTGCGAGCTTGGCTTTAATGCCGGATACAGTAGGTACGTGGCTTTAAAAGCTCGTGAACGTCGAAAGTACGGTGATACGTATTTTTACTTGAATGAATACTTAAAATCAATTGAATATACTTTGAAATTATGTATAAATAATTCAATTAAATTTTCTTGGATCTGAGCTTTAATTTTTGTTTCATCTTTCTTGTGATGTACACAATTAACTCGCAGCTTCTTTATGCTATAACGGTATGAGAGAAAAATGATAGGGGAAAAAAATTCAAATCACGTTGATAAACAACCATATCGTGATGAATTTCTGGTTAAATACCATTTAACTTTGTGAAAAAATCGAGTTTTAATGGTGACCGATATGAAATTAAAGCAGTTTCCGACCGACTGCGGGCATTTAAATTTCACGTCACGTGTCAATGTGATAATTCATTTAAACGACAATTGGATTAACGTAATAGTTTTGCAAAAGAAGGATGACATTAAAGTGCACGGCAATTATTTTAAGTGCATTTAGCAAATTCCAGCGGATTAAGGGTGCGCTTGATGTGGAAGCGAAAACTTAATTAATTTACAAAATGAGCGACATGGTATTAGTTTTAATATTTTATAAATAATTGGATAAATTGCTTGGAGTACAATAGACGATGACCTTTGGACTACTTATTTTAAGGAATCTTTAATAAGTAAAGTACAAAATTACAGTTTATATAATAATTAATTGAATAATAAAGTTAAAACTTTAATTATATTGAACATTTCCAAGATAAATTCATTTCTTTGTCATACTTTTTCATTTATTTAGTGTATTTTTTTAATTTGTTTTCTCCGCCACACTTACTTTATGTTGATTGAGTTTCCAACATAATTAATTTTCTGGTATAGATCAGTCAGTACATTGTAAGTGTTGAATTCTCTTTGTCGATGTACTGTTTCGAATCACTTGCGTGTTCAGGTGACTGTGTGCAGATAACCATGAGATACTAATACGACACAAACAGTTGATAAATGTGAAACGAAGACGTTCTGTGGATGCTTTTTTTTTTTTGTTTTTTCAGTCCCAAAGATTATTTAAAATAACTGAAAAATCGTGATTAATGGAATACTCAAGTAAACGTTAAATGCAACGATATTAATAAGTCAATTTACACTATACCAACGAAAGTAAAAATTTTTCCACTGCAAAAGCCAAGAAGGCAAAAAAAAAAAAAAAAAATTTATTCCCAAACGTTTGTTTTTCCAGACTATTTACGAGGACCACCTGTAACAAAACGAAAGACCTATAGACATGGCAAGTACGTGAGGTTCTTCGACTATTTTTTAAAGGACATCTCGTATTTCTCAATCTCTTTCTACGTGACAAAAAAAAGTAGAGAAAAGTTTTGCGAACCCAAGTGCTTTCACTCAAAATACAGAGGAACAAGAGAAATAAGAAACATGGGAGGAGTGTGCTTCGCGCGCAAAGCTCCGCAACCAAAGCGCTAAGGCCTCTCAGTAGTACAAATAAAAAATAAAAAAATAAAAAAAAAGCGAAGGAAAAACAGAGCAGGAATGGGTCGGAAGTACAAGCCGCGCTCGATAGCCGAGCAGGATCGCAAGCTGTGCGGCGGCATATGCATATGCCAGTTCACCATAGTCATTAGCGTCGTGTCCTTCGTTTACCTTTTTGTCGCTATCTACATGCCATCCCACAGGTAAGACGTACTAAATACGAGAAAGTCGAACTTTCGACCTTGTTTTGTGAATAAATTTTTCCCTCTTTATGTTACGCGAGATGGAAAAAAAAGTGACGGCATGTTGATCCTTTTTCATACCAATTACTTGCTCAATAAAGGGGGAAAGCAACATTGACGTACTACTAAATGGACTTTTTTTTTTTTTTTATTCCTCGCTGATTAAATTGAAGAAACTTTTTAAATTTAGCACAAGCTTTGCAAAGCATGACCTGCTGATTATTTCGCGTGGCTACCATTAATACACACACCTATTTTTAAAACTTCCAAATCATCTTACGAGGCGATCGATATTTCTTAATACTCCAAAGATGCGCGGTGTTGCTCAAATTTCTATATGCCATTAATCACTGTCGTGGCAATAAAAAAAAAAAAAAAAAAAAAAAGGTACAAGGTAACGAATCTAGCTTGAAACGAGAAAAATCTACCGCAGCCCTCCCTCTGTTGCCTCCAAAAAAAAAGACCTTCCTCGAATCAGCCAGTGTAGACGGGACGAAAACCTCTGCTCGTCTAAACGACTCGTATTTTCTTGGCAGAGCCTTCAAAGCGGGAATCGAGACTGATCCCGTGATGTGCCAGACGGTCAACACGACGCTGGTCAACAACTGCGTCTGGGCGAGCTGTGGCGAGTGGTGTCTCACCAGAACCACTGGATTCTGTCCCCAGATCCACGCCACCGTCAGACGCAACGGCACCGATCTGATTTTCGATAATTGCTCGAGACCTGCCACCGTTTCCTGTCCGATGGTGGGTTACTATATCATTACCTGTATTTATGCGTTATTTTAATAAATCGTAATCACAATGATTACATGATTGGGCTGAAGAAGCACTTTTAAAATCCTCCGTGTGAAAATAATAAATTGTTTTTTGTTTTTGTTTTATACATTTATTCAAGTAAACAAAATAATACGTCGTAGTTAAAAACTGTACCATAAATTAGCTTGTCTCCTCAGTTTGGATGTTTATCACAGCGAATCTATGAAAAATTTAAGCTCAAATGGTGTCAAAGTTATTTTTAATGAAAAATTAGCAAGCCGTATAGTGCATTTTGAGCGTTCCTGAAATATTGAAAAAATTTGACGGATCTTGGTGTCACGCTAAAACGGCTATTGCATAAGCAAAACCTTGTACTTACGAGCTCCCATTGTAACGTAAACAAAAACGTGTTCCGCAAAGAAAATCAATTTACTTGAGAGCTGTGTCGCGTAATCATCTAGAGCTTACCAAGAAACATTTATGAAACTCGTAATCGAAAAACTTTCGGTCAGCATTTATCTTGTGATGCATCTACGTGGTATACAAAAAAAGTCGCGCTCCCAACGAACGCTCAATAAAAAGCTCAATCCAATCGTTGTACACCCCGAATTGTTAAATGACGAAAAAACAAAACAAACAAAAAGGTGAACCCGGCGAACGCGAAGCGCTACAACTGCAACAACGGCAGCGAGTGCAGCCAATTGAGCGGCACCTTCGAGTGCAAGCTCGGCCACTGCTCGAACCTGAGCGAGCTGATGCTCTGCCACGACAAGCCCGATGGCCAGGTGGTCGACGCCGAGAAGGACAACATGAAGCTCAACGGGAACTTTCGCTGCGTCAACTCGCGCTGCACCCGCATCAAGAACCCCTTTACCTGTGACCGCTACTGCCCCAAGATAACGACCACCAACGTCAACGTCTTCATCATGCAGGCCGACAACGTCGTCACGGCCTCGTGCTCGCGGGCCTTTGCCCTCAACAAGGCGCATGGCAACAGGCCCGGGGAGAGGCTCCGGGAGCCCAGGGAGCTTTGGAGGAAGGACAAGGATGCCATTGTCGTCAGTTGCTTCGCGGCCGAGAGGCAGGGGGACAAGATCAGGTGATTCTTTTTTTTTCCCCGAGTGTGTTTTAATTAAGAAAAAAAAGAAATAGCCAACAAAACAAATAAAGGGGTTGTGCACTTTAAGTAGGTCACATTGATTCCTTCGATCATTCAATTTCACGACTCCGTGGTCGCTAAGTACAGACATAAACGGGCATTGTGCAAACGCAGCGTCTATCGTTCACTGCTGAAGGCAAATTGAAAAGTACATGGACAATAACATCGATTAATTAGATGAAACTAAAACTACGAGCAAATGTTGAATTATTGAGTAAGTGAGTGCAAGTACAAGTATCCGTTGCGAGGTAAACGAGTTTGGATGTTGGGGCATTTTGTTTCCACGATAAAAGCAAAGAGCGTGGCGTGCGAGAGAAAAAAAAAGTGGGGGATGGGGAAATGAAAAAGTTAGCTAACGCGACGGAACTAGTGTAGATAGGGAAAAGCGGAGGTAGGAATCGATCGACGAGCCATTCCATGGACTCCTTAGCTCGTTCCTTTTAACAAAAAGTACCGAAAATTAACAGGACGGAGGACTGCGTGAACGGGACTTTACTGGCGAGCGGCCGGGTGCCCCAGCCGTTCATCAATTTCACGACCTTCCTGATGATGTACGAGCAGAGCTTGTCCAGGAAAGTGGACCCGAGCGACGCTTACGTGCCGTCCCAGCACTCGCTCACCATATACAACAGCTCGCGGCTCTACATCAATCTCGAGGGCTGCGTCAACACCTTGCGGGGCGAGTGCCGCGAGTTTCTCGTCACTCACGGCGCCGACGGTGACAACCAGACGGCTCAGAGCCGATACCCTTGCTACTACAACAAGGTGAGTGGTACTATGAAAAAAAAAAAAAAAATAATAATAATAATAATAATACCGATCACGGTCGCGAGGGCCATGTTAATTTCCTGAAAAGATACGATCGGCAAAGTGGTATGGGGACTCGTGTAGACGCGAGGATCGCGATTGTTAATCGACGGGGGCGCTGATGGGATTTCCTTCCACTTCCGCCAACCCATCGGACAGTTTCGGTGTAGTGGACCGTGACGGGGATTTCACTCGGCTGATACACCGTTCGTTCGGACGCGCCAATATTCCCCTCGGGGATACATTGCTTTGGATCCCCTTTTCCTCCCTTTCGCGATTATCCACCCCAGTTGGGTCGGCGAACGCTTGGTTTTTCACGGTGACTACTCTCGTGGTTTTTAAATGACATTCCGTTTTGTCAGACCCGTTCATCCTGTTTTTGACGTTGCTTATAACTTTATTTTTTAATTAAACATTAAATAACATCAGGGTAGAATGAAAAAAAAAAAAAAAAAAAAAATTAAACCGTAAAAGCTGCACAGTGCTTCGAATAAATGTGAAAACTTGACGTGAAGCTTTGCGGGTTTCGTTGTTAAAGACTCGTCAGTGTGGCTGTGACACCGCGTTTTTCAGTTTAACCGAGGGAAAAGGGGAACGAGTCGAAGCGAGAACAGAGGACTCGTAATGGATAAACGTACAGGGAGAGGGGGTCCTTACAAATGCACAAGTGCTTCATAGAGGGTATTGTGCGATAAAATTGCACGGAAACGCTTTTAGAGAAGCAAACAACCCACATAACAACCAACCGTGTTCGGGGAGATAGAAACGATAAACCGCGAAATCCTATTTCAGAACAACTCGTTCCTCGTGGTGGCGCGCTTCGACCTCGAGCACACGCGCACCGTCCTCTTCTACTCCATAGTCGTGCCGGTGTGCATGTTCTTCGTGAGCCTGACGGCCCTGATAGTGATAACGTACTCGGTGCGCGTGGGCGACGACTCGAAGATGCACTGCACGATGTGCGCCGGTGACGACCAGCCGAACGAGAGCGAGGGCTTGGTGGAGACCAGGGCTACCTCGACGCCGCCCCAGGCCTGTCCCAGCGTGAGCGTTACTGCGCCGGAGAACGCGAGACTCAATCCCGCGGGTATGGCGCTCTAGCAGGGCAAGGCTGGCTCTCACGGGGCATGTGGCAATGGCTCGGGGTACGAGAGGCTGCCCGTCGACGACACCGACGATGCCGAGGACTCGTTTTAAGGTATCACTCTATGGTTTGATTAGGAATTTTTTCGTTTGATGACTCATCTCGAGGAATTTTATCGCGACTGTCCGTGGGGAATTTTTTTTAAAGGTTACTCAAAATTACATTAAAAAAATCGGTTGATTGCATCCCTGGGATGAAAATTTCAAGCGTCAAGGGAGATACTTTTTTAACCGACTATATACCTGCGTGATTAAGAATAGTACATTAATGAATCAACAACGACTTTCCATTTAATCTTTGTCATTCAATTCACGTGTTTTTTAAACATACTATACCTACCCGTAATCAATGTAAAGTGAAAGTTTCAATAGTCTTTATTATATACAATTTTTAACGTATGTAAGCCAACTGTAACCGAATCGATTTCATCCTTTATGAAATTACCATGACAATGGCACATTATTGTGACCCATAATTGACATGGTCAAGTATCGAGTACTGTGTTTAAAAAAAATAATAATAAATAAAAATAATCAAGATTCGTTTACTCGTAAATACAAAAATATGAACGATTTCACATGTAACCCTGGAGGGGCCAAAAATATTAACGCACAAACTGATGTGCATCTCTGAATATACGTGGCCTTCAACAGCGCTGCGATCACTCGAGTCACTCGACAGTATCAACAATTTGTAAACATTGTATTGATTGTTTGAAATTTTCATTATAAATTGAGTAAATTAAATTCTAATGGACATGCTTTTGAAGTGTGGTGTTACTTTTACACGCCAATTCTTCAAACTTCACATGTTTTCAAAAAAATTTAGATAGTTAATAATTGTTAAAATTAAATTAAATTAAAAGTGACGTCTATACGCTTATGAACGATAATGTACTTATTCAATGTGTCTAAAAGCATGAACTGAAAGGTCATATCGATAAAAACACCCATAGACTTTTACAATACAAAACGAGACTGTGTGGTCTTCTGATTTGGAATTATTAGAACTGACTTGATGATCATTCTAAAAAAAAAAAAACTGCCTTTTTTGTTACTAATTCACGTGTATTCATCTTGAAAAATTGATGTTGAAAATTCAGAGGTTATTTAAAATAATTTATCATTAAACTCATTCGTCATTGAATTAAAAAAAAAAAAAAAAAAAAAAAATGAGTATAACATTGAAAAAAATCATCGTAATCATAAAGAAGCACTTAGAAGCGTCCAAGCTGCTGGGGAGCTTTCAGGCAACAAAGTGAAGTGAGGCGGGACTGCCGCTGGCGGCGCGACGCTTAGCTCGCATTGTAGGTATATATTACGCGCGCACAAGGCATACGTATATAGAATAGCCTGCACGGCTACGTTATAGAACTTGCATATTTTTATCGATTCTACTAAAAAATTTACGATTACAGCTATTTGAGATTATACCGATTAGTAAGTACGAACATTCATTCGAGTGTGTTTTCGAAAATGGCATTAATTACCGAAACCATGTTATAGTATTATAACAATCCCATACTATCACACATAAAATATCAGTGGAGGCATTTTTCGTTTGATTTTTGCTTGGAAAAACAGTTGATGCTATCCATTTTTATCGTTTAGATCGCGTTCTAGAAAAATTAATTCAACTTGTATAATCAATTCGTAATTGTAGACGAGTACCATATCAGTGTCGCTTTTCTTGTGTAAGTGAATAACAGACGGATGTCATGTGGAAAATGCTTTCATCTAATAAACCAAAACATAATATAAATGTGATATCTTTTTTTTTTTTCTACTTTTACGCGAGTTTTATGAGCTATCTTTATAAAAGAACACTGAAATTGAAAATTTCCAGTCTACAAATCTCGATAAAAAAGAAAAACCTTTTACAAGAAAGATGATGAAAAAAAAAAAAAAAAATTACGAACGAATACACCAAATCTTTATAAATATATACTGTGCTCTACGTGCCTTCTTCTTTCATTTACTTTTCATGCGATTTCAACTGTATTATGTGCACATTAAAAAATAAAATGAAAAACCAACGAAAAAATTGGATGATTTTTATGCACTATGTACTACTCTACCGGCAAAAATTATTGCTATACTTCGATTACAAAGTGAGAATTTTGCGAGTAAAACTGTTTTTTACTTGAAAATTTTGTTAATACTTTTTACTGTGATTGTACCGAAAACTTTACCTCACCATTTTGATTGATTGTATCTACAATTGGAGGCATATATTATTGTCATCGTGAGTACGGCGCAATATTTTTGTTAAACATTAGCATGTGTAATATGGGTGTTTGTATAATTACATCTTCTGTCGGATGATTATGCCATTTTTGTCATGATATTAAAATACATTTTTTAATCAAAGCAAATTAACTTCTTTTCCCTTCCTCTGTCACCATACATTTCTTGAACTATCATCGCAAATACAACTAATTATCAGGTGCAACGAGGGTAAAACAAATTGTTTGGCTCATTTCAAGTGTCACTGTAGGGTTGGCGTGTTCAGCGTCACTTTTCTCAACGAGACCAGGATTGCGTGTACAAACAAACTCATTGTTTCAGCAGCAGCGTGATGTTGGCTCCAATTTTTTTATTTCTTTTTTCATTTGGAGTTAATGAACGGTAATGAAAATTGAATTTCCAGAAGATTGGATTATCGATTGGCGTGAATTTCCCGCTGCCCTGAAGTTCACTACAAAGTTCACTACAAACGTCAAGTGGCTGGATCGAAATTACGAAAGGTAAAAAAAATTACATCTGTACTTTGCCTCCACAAATACCAGCAATCCCCGTGGGAGGGAAAACTAGAAAAAACCAAATGCAATACACCGATCTTGCCACAAATCAACCCCGTCTCTACGTAGAGCTTTGTGGTGCTCTTTTTTGTCTCTCCCCGCATGTACTTACCCCTAAGTATCGCACCCGAAAGCAATAAAGATAAATCGATTTCAATAACATCCTCATTATCCCGTCCATATATTCCACTTGCAGTGACATTTCTCAACAGCAAGTCGTCGACTCGAGTCATACCGTCTGGGCCTCGTTTCAATGAAATTTCTTCCAAGGGAGCCCCAAGCGTCGATGACTCATCCCTTTTTTCCTTCCCCGCAAATCGATACGGACAACGTACCATGGGCTCTACGTAATCGCGGCTAGAAAACCGGGACGAGCTAACCGGAGCGGCGATACATGATCTACTGCGAGATCCCAGCCATTCATTATGAATCTCGGCTCTGTCGTTGCTTTTAATAGACTGTTGTTAACGACTGCGCTGTTATTGAGAGAAAAAAAAGCTGGAGGTTTTGGTTGGCACGATTTTCACTTTACATGTAATAGTTAATTTTTTTTTAGTGGCTAAACTCGTCTCCATCTGCGTCACTTGCACCCTCGAGTTCTTTCGGCTCTGGTTTAACGCGACGCGACGCAATTCCAGTTCATCGGATGTATTCGCTGGAGGGCTCGGATCGGATTGACAGTTTGTATGTACATATATACATACATACATACCACGAGGGGTAGGAAGTAGGGGTTGGCGTGGGCGTCTTACGCACGTACCTTATTACTTTGGAATGAAATTAGTTCCACCTGCTCGGGGAAATTGATTTTCTACCCCGGAGATTGTGAGATTTGGTTATTTTTTAATTCTCCCCCACAAGTGGCTGGTTGGTTTACTTAATACTATGGGGGTGGCGTGAAACGTGGTAGGATCGCTCTGCGAGTTAATATAAGTGGCGATTGGAGCTAAAGAATAAGGTGAGATTATCTAACGTGATGTAAATATTTGGTGAGTAAAATTTACGTGCTAAGGTTTTTCTTATTTTTTTGCGTTGCTGGAGATAAAACTATTTTCCATGATTGGGATTTTTTTTAGAATTTTCTTTATCTTTTCGAGACAATGCTCATATAAATCAGAAGTGAAATGGAAGGTCGTTTTTTTTTCTTATTCCGTTGGGAATAAATGTACTTCTTTATAGCTCCATAGCAATATTTTTCTTTTTTTCTTCTATCTGATAAAAAAAAAACTCACGCTGAGATATAAATTGTATATACTGCTGTTCCACCATAGGACGTGATTTATATATTATTTTCTACCCAAATTGGGTAGTTTATAAAACAAACAAAAAATATTAGTCAATATTATTTTCCACTCTTATTAATGCTAGAGTTTAATAAAAATAACATCTATTAAAAGTTATACTTAAAACTTATGGTAAAATAGTGTGAAATATTTGCGTACAGATAGTTGGTTTAGGTTTGTAGATTGGCTTATGAAATAATGACATCTCAGACGTATTTTGCATTATCTAATTGTTAAACAACCATTGTCATTTAACATCCAAAAAGTTTGGTATGCAAAAAAAGTTCACCACTTACCTTGCTCGTCCTACCAGCAGATGATAATCGAAATACTAATCGATATCGTAATGAGACCATACATCAACATCTCCTCAAAACATAAAAAATGAACACGAATAGCTTCAACACACTAACGTATGAAAAATAACGCCATACCGTAGAATCTTAACATTTTTACATCAATACCAAAATAATCTCAGCGCCTTAGCAACAGCTGATAAGGTAGAAACTCGTTCATGCCAACGTCAAGTACATACCACGTGGATATCACGCCCCACTTACCTTCAGTTCCTCCTGGCGCCTGTGAGCTTGTAGCATGAGCTGCTTGCGATCGTCATCCGTCAGAACGGGCTCGCGCGGTGGTGCCCCGGAGCCGCGCTTGGACAGTTTAACGACGATTTTGGTCTTCTCGTTGCTGCCCGCGAATTCCTTTAGCTTACAGCCGCGTAGCAATTCCTTGCCCGAGAACCACAACTGGGCCATCTGGAAGTCGATCACCTGCGAGCGTATTCTTTGCGTTAAAAAAATTTTTTTCCCTCTTCAACAAATTGAAAAAAAAAAAAAATCATTTATTTTATATAAATTCAAGAGCTTCCACTCGACAAAGGATTACAGTCACCCGCTATATTTCTTCAGAATTTCGGGAGCGATACATCACCCGGTATTTTTAATCTCGTAATTTTACCGGCTTGACACACCGCGAGACTTTCAGACTACGCGTGACATTGGGAAAAGAAAGAAAGAAAGAAAAAAAAGGCGAAGACGCGCGTAGCTAATTGATCGCTCTGTGAACCCGCGCTAAAAATACCCAATTCACCGGTGGAGGAAAATCGAAATTCCGTGCTTTGGAAATAATTTTGGAGCTCATTCGGCGATAAAAAAAAGGTCAACGCTCGGCCGGTCACTGGGTTCGTGAACACACGACCATTATCTCGTCTCTCGCAGAGCGGCGGTTCTCGCGTGGTGTTATATAATTGACATCTGGCCGTACGGAGTCGAACGAAAGCTCGTAAACTAGAGCAACGATACCACCTCGAGCGAGGCGTGGGTCCCACTGAGGTCCTCGTTGTTTTCGAGCTCCAAGCGAATGACGTCATGGGGTGGCAAACCCATCGGGTACACGATCATCGTGGCTCCCCTCAACACGTCCAGCGCCTCTTGGACGACTCTCATGGTCACCAGCTTGTCCTGCTCGATTAGCTTCTGCGAAACGAGAAATACCCATTTGTACACTTGACCACTCTTCCATTTAGACATGGGTATACCTTGGATATCAAAGCCCGAGCGTCTTCGATGGCCTTTTTCACGACAGCCTGCATGTTCTCTTGGGGCTGCTTGCCGTTCCTGCGTCCTGGGATGGGGTGACAAAAAAAAAGTAACGATTAATCCTGTATTAACAATAAAAACTAGCTGGGTTCGAGAGAAAATGTACCCATGACGTCTCTGTTGAAGGTCCAGCCACCCGAGGGTATGCACTTTTCGCCCCACTCGTCCGTCAGGTGGAGCTCTTCGATCTGGTCATCGGTCAGGCCTTGCATGTTTGGCGGTAGCATCGTACCGTGCTCGGCCAGGTCTTCCAGATCTGTTTGCGAGACAACAGTAATTAAAATACGGTATTTTATGGCTACCGATTTCCAGGATACAAGAAATTTTTTAAGAAAAAATGTGGGTACATAGAAAACACAGTCCCTACCGTAACAGAGTCTGGACACTTTCAGCCGTCCGTTATGAATGGCTGTTACTTCTTGGATAATTTCGTCGACCTTTGCCTCCACGCTGGTGTCGTACAAAAACAAGCTCTCGGTTTGCCTCTTTACGTGTAGCCTCACCATGTTTTTTTCTTCTTCTTCTTCTATTTTTTTTTAATCCACTCGATGGCCCACCAAATTACTTTGTTCGAACAGGAGGAAGAGGAGGAGGAGGAGGAGGAGGAGGAGGAGGAGGAAAAAGGCTGTTATCGCTCGACGAATAATAACCTCCACTTTTGTGACTGTTTACGTGCAAGCATCAACTGAACTCCTTGACGACCTTCGCTTCGGCTAAAGAGAGAGAGAGAGAGAGCGAGTGATGTATTTCTCCAGGCAACCATGTATATATGTATACACGGCTATCGACCAAGCAGCAATTGTCTCCCGGCGACGATTTCAATTGATGGGCATACACACAGTTAGCACCGGTGTGTGGCCGACGGCTATCGTATATCGTCATCGGTAATTTGGTCAAAGTGTGATAAATTCTGTTCTCCCACGTGTGCCCTACCCATTGCTTTTTTTTTTTCCCCCGTCGTTTGACGGTAGTTTACCGCTGTTACATCAAACGGGACGCCTCATGAGGCGAGTACAGCTTTTACCGAGTGGATTAATTGTGTTGTTGGAAACAATAGGGCTCATGAAAAATTACTCGCTGTTATCTCTGCGTATATCATGATGTATATTTTTAGATTAATTGGTGTCTTTACATAAGCATAGTGGGTATAACGTTGGGTTTGACATTTACAAGCCGGTCGCTGGCTGGCTAAGCTTTTGAGCGATTGATTGAAGGACTCGATTTGTTTGGTGGGTTAAAGTAACAAAAATTAAATTATATAAAAAAAATATACGTTTATGTATTACAAAAGTATTTACAATTGGATGATTGTAAAATTCAAACACCAAAGGAAACAAAGTATCCATGAAAAAAAAAAAAAAAAAAAAATCCCATTGTTTCCTTTGAGCTTTGTTACGTATCTCTGGCATCCTACGAGTTTTTGTCGATTATTTGGCAAGTTCGGGAAAGAGGAGCAAGTAAATATTTACAGGGTAGGTGTTTAAATACTCGACGAGCTGAGATTTTACAATCGAAACAAACACATGGTAATCAACTCTCGCGGTTTTAGCGGCTTAATACACCGTGGCGATTGAAGCCGTCAAACATTGTTAATGTATACGGGGACGTGCGCACATGTGCATTCAATCGAGATCGGTATGCCGGTCGGTGGTGCTGTAGCGCAGAAGAAGCGGGTTAGCGCCGGCATTGGCCGACGGCGCCAGTTTGTGCGTCTCCTCGCTGATGGACAGCGAAGCTTGAGGATCCCCGACGGCGAGGGTCGTCGTGCGCGGGTAACGCGCCACGCTGCTGCTGTACACGAGCCTACAAGGGCTGCTCTTGGGGAGCCTGCGGTCGCTACAGTGCTTCGACAGCATGGCCTGGAAGAAAATAATATAAAAATGTAAAAAATTACATGTATCTTGCGTCACATGCGAGGCGAAAGGGACGAGAATGTAAGTGGCTGTATCGGTTGTTTCGTGCGACGAAGGGTGGTGCTCGCGCGCGCTTGGAGTGTACGAATGTAGGTGGTTTAATAATCTTAAAAGGATCCGCGCGAGATTTGGCTTCCCCTCGTCCTCGATTTACATTCATGGATAAATTCACCTTGGAAGTTTTTTTTTGGGGCGGGGGGGGCTTTTTTTCAAGGGAGGCGCGTTTTTATTCGCAAAGAGCAGTTTCGTCGGGTGTTTTGAATATTTTTTGCGATAACCATAAATATACAAGCTTGGATAGCACCTCGGGGCATTTATTTGCCACGGGCGTTGGGAAGTTATGGATTTTTACAAGCTTACAAACTTTGACGCTTCCAACTGTAACTCGTGTGTGTTTGGCGTGGAAATTTTTTTTTTTACGGATTGAACGACATACTATTTGGAAGCTTTGTTCTGTCATCTAGGCTCTTTATGCGAGTGAAATTGGGAAAGTCATGCGTTTGAATAACACGTATGGATGCTTCTACGCATATATTTGATTACAATCGTTACAGTCGCGCAAACATCGGTATTATACCGTGAAATTAAATGCGTGATCTAATCGTAATTACCTTTTCATGTACGAAAATGCTTATTAAACCAGACCCACTTTGGGTCAAAAAACACATATCCAAATTTTCACTTACCTTAAAAGCTTCGCGGAACTTGTTGGACATGATGTTGTACAGCAGGGGGTTTATCGTCGTAGACAAGTAGTACAAAACCCCGGATATGTAAGTGAGCGCGGTGTAGAACGGCAGTACGATGGTCCTCTTGCGCTCGTCCTTTTTGTTTCTCTGGGCGTAAACGGCCAATAGCCGTTGGGCGTGAAAGGGCGCCCAGCAAATGAAAAACGCCACGACCACCGCCACTGTGTGATCGAAAGGACGATTAAAAAGCATGTTACTTATTCTTACGAAATGACGAATCATTTAAAAGCTCACCCAGCATTCTAATGACGTTCCTCTGGGCGCAGCTCTTGGCTCTGATGTTGTCCGAGTAATCGTAATTCGGTATGGGATTCCTGTTGGAGATGCTCAAGAGCCTCGTATTTTTCAGTTTAAGGCCAATGAGCATGTACAGGACAACTATAATGAGCATCGGGACGACGAAGAATAGTACACTCGAGATTTCAAAGGCGTGTTGGATGGAGGTTGGTTTGACGGAGCACATGGCACTGCTGTCGATGAACGTGCCGTTGGACGATTTTTGGTAGACTATGCCGAATTGTATGGCTTGAGGAATGGCCAGGCACAGGGCCAGGCACCAAATGGCGATTATGTACTTGACGGCGCGCGACAACTTTGACATCGTGTGGGATAGAAACGGGTGGCATATGGCTACGTATCTAAAAACAGAGGACCGATTTGTCTCTTATCTGCAGATTTTTATTTTAATGCAGAGTGTGAAAAAAGATACTCTCGATGACGCCTAACGTTATTAAGTCGTGCCATGATTTTCCGTGATCAAAATGAAACGTAAAGGCGTGCTAGTACGGAAATTTCCAAATCTCTGAAAATTCAAATTCAAAATATCCACCTACTAACCATACTCGAGTGACAACATTTTTTGTTTTTCAGTACATTGGAACGCTTCAAGGGAAGGTGCCATACCAAAAATCTCTTTTTCAAATTTGGGATTTTCGGAAAGAATTTTTCATTACGAAATAAGAGAGTGGGCTAAAATGTCGAGGAATGTGAATTTGAATTTTGCTCCAGCGCGCCGTAACTCTAAAATGTTCAATGAAACGCTGGAGTAGCGCGATGTACAATTTATGATGCGTAAAAATGATCCATTGAGGATTACTGTATGTATTTTTGTCGGAAATTGCTTTTTGAGCAAAAAGTAGACACAGACAAGTTACGGTCAGCCCAAGGATTTAAAAATTGGGAACTGTAACCAATGAAAAAATAATAATTGTATAATTTATATGAGGTACAAATGACCCAGCAATTTTTAGCGTGCGTTTTTTTGTCGAAAAATGCTTTTTGTACAAAAATAGATACAGACAAGTTACGGTCAACCCGAAGGATTAAAAATTGGTAATTGTAGCCAACGGAGAAATAACAACTGTACAATTTATGATGCGTAAAAATGACCCATTAAGAATTACTGTATGTATTTTTGCCGGAAATTGCTTTTTGAGCAAAAAGTAGATGCAGACAAGTCGTGGTCAGCCCAAAGAATTAAAAATTGGCAATTGTAGCAAAAAAAAAAATAATTTTATAATTTATATTAAATACAAATGACCCAGCAATTTTCAGTGTGCGTATTTTTATAGAAAAATGCTTTTTGTACAAAAAATAGATACAGACAATTTACGGTCAGCCTGAAGAATTAAAAATTTTTAATTGTAGCCTACGAAAAAGTAACAGTTATATAATTTATGATATGTAAAATTGATACAAAGAGTTTTAGTGTATGTATTTTTTTACCGAAGACTACTTTTTGCGTAAAAATAGATACAGACAAGTTACAGTCAACCCGAAGAATTAAACATTAATAATTGTAGCTACCAGAAAAATACTAATTGCACAATTTATGATGTGTAAAAATAATCAAGCAAATTTTTATGCGCCTACGTATTTTTACACCGAAAACCGTTTTTTGCACAAAAAGTAGATGCAGACAAGTCGTGGTCAGCCCAAAGAATTAAAAATTTGTAATTATAGCCAACGGAAAAATAACAGTTGTGCAATTTATGCTACGTAAAAATGACCCAGCGAGTTTTAGTTGGCGTATTTTTTCACTAAATTTCACTTTTTGCGCAAAAAGTAGATACAGACAAGTTACAGCCAGCCCAAAGATTGGACATTGATAACTATTGTAGCAAACGAGAATAACAATGGCTCCCACGAACCTCTCGACCGTGAAGGCAGTGATGGTGAGCACAGTGGCATTGGCCGAGGTCTCGGCAGCGAAGCTCTGCACTACGCAAAAGGCCTCCCCGAATATGTAAGGGTAATTCGACCATATGTAGTACATCTCGGACGGAAGTCCGCTCATGAGCAGCAGGAGATCCGACACCGCTAGGCTGAAGAGGTAGTAATTCGTGGCGGTGTGCATGAACTTGTTTTTCGCGATGACGATACAGGTGGAGACGTTGCCGACGAGACCGGTGACGAAGATCATCGCGTACATCACGGTTATCGGGACGACGATCGACAGCGAGTCCCGGTGAAGGCTTCCCGGGTTGCTGGGGCTGTCGGCAAGATTCAGCTGCTTCCGGCTACTCGTCAGGGCTGCCGCTGTCAAGTTCTGCCAATCGAGGCCACCCGGCTTTGCCGTCAAAGTCCCAAGCTCCGCCTTCACGTTTTGGCTCAGCATTGTCGGACCTTTTTTCTTCCCTACCTCCTTCTGGTGCGCTTACATTGTAAAAACTCCTATTTTTTTGTTTAATTTCAAAGTATCCGTGGTAGAGCCATAGTATGTGTGATGATTGTTTTCGAGGTCCTGTGTAACGGTACACCCTCCTCTGGTGCTCCTCGAAAAAAGCGTCCAAAGTATATCGCGCGCCTGAAATATTCGACGTGCGCACGTACACCGGATAACTTTCTCATACGTGCATCGATCGTTAATTTTAGCTGCTTTTGCGCGAACCTTCGCTCGACTCACTGCTGTGCGCAACGCATTTTCCGCCCAATTAACCTTGGGGCTGCAGTTATTGTTCCCACCAAAAAAAATGAAAAAAACGAAATTCACTTCATCACACACATACACGTCGGTGTAGTTTCAACGACATATTTACTCCCCGGTAGGTCCTCCCGAGGAATTTTTAATAAGACGCACAGCCACGTCCATTGTCCGAGAGAACCCCGGGAGCGGTTGTCAGTTCTCTGGCGCCGGCGGATGTTTACTCCTCCTCGCGCCGAATGTGCGCGAAATTTCTCATGCACCTCCGTCCTATTAATCACGCGCTCGTTTGGTCTTCCCCCGGCCTTGTGCGAAAAAAAGCACGTATATTTCCCTCTCCCCGGCAAGAACGCTCGATTGCCACTTTTTGTGTTGTTTGTTTTTCAAACTGTGCAAAACTTTTCAAACTGCAAACTGTACCGATCGGCTACGGTGCACTCCGGTGGATCGGAGCAGGTGCACGCCGGTGGATTCACTTCGCGAGCCGGATCGAACTTTCACCGCGTGAGAGTATATCGACGCAAAAGGGCCGAACGAGTGGAGGGGCAAGGAAAAAAAGACACGCGGACGAGAACGCGTGGCCAGCGCACGGGCAGCTGCACCGGTCTAACGCGTTCCTGCCACGGCGGCCGAATCGAGACTCCCTCGGGAGTGTAGTGGCAAGCGGCTCCTCTCCGCGCTTGCTTACTCCGACCGGCTCGCTCGAGGGGGGACGGACGAGCGTGTGGATGCTGTATACTTTGCACTACCAGATAGAGAGAGAGAGGTGTATGGCAAAAGAAAGCGCGGGAGAGGGAACCCGTTTGGCGTTCTGGGCGATTATGGCGTAAAATATCCCTAAATGGCCAGTCCGCGGAGACACGTGTCTGTGCGTACGTGTGTATGGTCTGCGAAGTTTTGCTTCTTGTTTTTTGCCCGAGTGTGTTTATCTGGAATTTGCTGACGGAGCGTGGGATTGGAGGTTTTTTTTTTCCAATGGGAGAGAAAAATAAAAAAAAAATTGATTGATTTGCGAGTGATTAATTGATTCGAGACTAAGCGACGTGGCTGGGATTCGAGTTGCACGGGATGAGCGAAATTATTATTTTTCTGCTAATAGAATAGTGGATATTTTTGGAGTTGGCTATTTTTACGGCTCCCGGCGTTTCACACTTGTCATTTGCATCGAAGACATGTGTATTTTTGTAAAACCATCAATGGCCCGCTCGGAAGCTCTAGAATGTGAAATAGTGGGTTGTGGCTCAGAAAAAAATTCTACCTATTGCTTACGAATCACACTATTATTTTTTTTCTTTTGCTTATTAGTCATTTTTACGCACCAGCTTGGACGTCCTTTCACTTTTTTTTACGAATGAAGATTAGTTTGAAACGAATCATCTCTTTATACACCATCCGATAGAAACTACATTATGTAACTAGTAGGCGATCTATATAATAATATATTAAATTTTGTTTTTTCTTTTTTTTTTTACAAATAGACATATTTGTTTTGTCTCATTTTGGGAATGGTTTGAAATAATATAATTTTCGGACTGTACTTTTCCCTCATACGTCGTTTCGATATCTATCTTCATTAGGTAGGACATGAAAATTAATTGAAATTGACTGTCTTCCAAGGGCCTCTTTATTAAACTGGCGCGTCGCCACAATATAAATTTCGTCAATTTCGCATCATTTGCAGCAGCCAATCAGCGATAAAAAATACATCCTCGCTATACAAGTACATTATCGTCTATGATGTACCTCGTGATGCACGAGGAAACGTAGGAAGTATTATTACTATTTTTTTTTTTTGTTATTAGATCGAGTTAGATATACTAGGCTATGTACCTAGTTATTTGGAGAATTGGGAGTCTGTAAATAATAAGTCATTTTTAGACACTCGTTGTATTCAACATTACTCCGCAACGGATTGAGTGCTTATTTCTTATAATTTTCCATCTCGTGAAAAAGCTTTCTTCGAAAAAAAGTATTTTTAATTCATCAAGACGGCAAACGGGCATACATCAAAAAATCATCATCATTAAAGTAGCTAGGCAAACATGTCCCCTGCGGTATGAGTACCAGACTTACTTGTAAAACTCTAGACAAACGTGGCGCTCTACGCACAGGATACTAATCGTCTTCGAGTCTATTGTAAGTACAAGTTTAAGGGGATCAGAGATCGGACAATAAAATAACTCGGATAGCGTGTAGGTCGCAAGCATGTGATTATTATTTTGCGTGTGAGGGTAAATCATCGAGGTAAAAAAAGGAACAGAGTGAAAATCGAAATCATCAGTGTCGGTAGCGAAGTTTCGCCTTGACGGTCTCCTCCTCCGCGATGTCCTTCACCGATTCCAGAGCCTCCGCTATGTCGGTCTTTTTGCTCGCCACTTGGTAAAGGGCCTCTCGGATCGAGTCGGTCGAGGCGGTCTTCAGGGCATCGATTAGCCCGAGGTTCTCCAACATCTTGACGAAGAAGGTGCTGCAGCCCCGGTCGTACGTACCGAATTCGCCGCACTTGTAGTCCCACGGCAGAAGGTAGTGGTAGTTCGGCCAGTAGGACTTATTTATCAGGAAAATACTGTTCTCGTCAACGGGGTATCTGGAAAAGTATTGCGATCGTATACACCTACTCGTCGAGGAAAAAAAAGAAAAAAAAGAAAACTAGGTGGGGATTTTGTTTAGAAAAAAAAAAGAGGCACAGAAATGAAGGATCGTAACGTGAGTCGGATCGGACGAAAAGGATTTATTGAAGCAGCCGTTCAGTACAAGCGCGCCTAGGAAAGGACGCTCAGTCCCTCGCTGTCGATCATAACGGAGCCGTGGCTCTTGGGCCTCTTGTAGAAGAAGAGGTGTAGCAAGCGAAAGGTATCGAAAAACTGTATTAACTTGTCTCCGGGTTTGAGGCCCCAGACGAGCGCCGCGCTGTTCACCAGCCACGAGATGTTGGTCGTGACCGACAGCCTGAAGAAGCCCAGTATCAGCAGGGAGTTGGGTATCGTCTCGTCCCAGTACTCGGCCGGCGCGTTGATCGGCAGCAGCAGACCCACGACCGGGAACAAGATCCAATAGAACCTGCGCAGAGAAGAGGGGAAGGACATTATTGAGTATTGGAGAAAAAAAAAAAAAAAATTAAATTGATGCATCGAGCAAAGTCACCATCTCTGGGCCCAGACGTATCCGTCGTAATCAACGTCGCACATGTCTATGTCCCTGTCGAGCCGCTCCTTTTCGGGGTGCTTCGACAGCAAGTTGCTGATCACGTGGCTGTAGAAGAAGCCCCGCTTGTGGTTGTACGGGTCCCGCTCCGTTCCGTAATACTGGTGGTGGGTCCTGTGGTTCAGCACCCAGTCGTAGATGCTTCCCTGGAAGCGCGAAAATCAGTTTGGAAGAACAAGGAATAGGATGGAGCGACGGACATAAAGAAGTACCCACCACACCAGCTAGCGTGTGCGCTATCATGAGGAGGAATCTGAGGAATCCCGAGGCCTCGTAGGCCCTGTGCGCCCACAATCGGTGGGCTCCTATCGTGATGCCGAGGCCCGCGAACAGTATCGTGAACAGCGCTAAAAGACAAAACCATGGGGTGATGAGTAGCTTTTTTTTTCCAAGCCAATTTAATATTAAATTGTAAGACGAGTACATCGAGACTCGCGCTTATCAATTGTTGTTACGAGAGTGTGCGCGTATATGGGTAGTCCGGGGCAAAATTTTGTGCGGCGCGATGAAGATTTTACTTTAAAACAATGAGAATTTAAAGGTGAAAAATGAGTATACGCTCGTACCGGTGACTCGAGCATTGACTTGCGCATACGTAATGCTTTGTTCTTCCACAAAGTTCTCTCTTTACGTAATTTTCTCACACTTTATTTTACTTTGGAATGTTTCGATGGCCATTTCGTGAAATTGCAAGGTCGATTTTCAAAGTCAGGGGGAGGTGGGCAATAATGTTTATGAAAATAATGCTTTTGAAGAAACATTACCGAAAAACACCGTCATCCATTTCGCCTCTGTGAGCAAAATCACGAACCCATAGAATCCAAGGGCGTGCAGATGTATGTACCAGAGAACAGTTGGCCAATGAATGTCCCTTTTGAACTCCTCGATCCTCTCCGAAGGCATGATCCGTCTCTTGCGTGTCGAGGGAGCTCTAACCGTGTGAAAGTCAATTTTTTTTTACAAATGTATTATCAGCAGCAAAAACCTTATTAATCGATGGGGGAGGAAAAAAAAGTTTTATCTTGATATAGAAATGGTAAAAGAAAAAAATTGGTACACAAAAACACTGTGATGAAAAAGGTCAAAAGTACACTTATGGAAAATAGCATTACTTAGCGGTCAACTCAACAGATCCGAGGAGGTTTGCTTTTTAGCATTGACTTTACTGTTGACGGCTCGCCGTCGAAAAATCGACTGGAAACACAAAATATCATTGCGCATTGGTGACCACAAAAAAAAAGCTTCGGTCGACGATTGATAATCACTTTGCTCAAAGAATCACATTACATTCAGCCGCGTGCGATTCCACGTAGTCATTTCCTTTAAAAAAAATACGGCAAGGTAACGACGAGCTGAGTACCCGAGCACTTGAATTCTTTTTTTTGTACCCCGGATCAATTTCAATGCAGATTTGAGGTACTTTTAAATACTTTTCATTGTATCGCAGTGAATTGTTACCTTTTTTTTCCGAATTCGGCTCAACTAGGCTATTCTCGTTTGGAGCACAGATAACGTGGAATTGTTTTCGTGCAGTCAACACACAAAGTAATGAAACTTGAATTTTTTTTTTTTTTTTAGGATTCCCTGTGGTCATTGCAAATTCAAGAGTTTATGATCTGAAACTCGTTGAGCATTAATTTATCATTTCATTCTAATGAATAAGGATGACGAGTGGGTACCCCAAGGCAATCGACAGTAGAGTGTTATTTTTAATTTAATTATATGCATGTATTAAAAACTCGCTTCACCGGAGTCAAAGGTCGTGGATGTCGGAAGAGTTTGGATGGGCCGGTGAAGAAAAATTGCAGAATTGTTTTCTTTTTTTTTTAAATGAATATATTTTTTGTATATATTCGTCATTCATTAAAATATAATAATGTACATATATACAGATCAACAGTAGTACATTTGATAACTCTCTTGCATATCGTATCTTGCACATCGTCTACTGGCTCTCAGACGTAAAAATATATCTTTTGCTCGAAACTTATTCGACAAAACTCGCTTTTAAAATTATCTCTCTCTCCGTCTCTCTCAACAATATAGTTAAATATGTATGCTGATATACGTTTTGTTTATTTATTTCTTTTTTTTTTTTTTTTTTTTTAAATATATAATATATATTCTTTTTCTTTTTCTTTACATAATAAACATCTTGGAATAAGAATCTAAACATTTATAACCGTGTCTTTCGGTATCGACGTGGATTAATAAAATTTTTCATTTTTCAACGCGCGCACCTTCTTGTCTGAAAATATAACTTGACTAGCATTTAACATCAACGATCCATTTAGCAAATTTCAGGGTACTGGATTACACTGATATTTTTTTCTTTTCTTTTTTGTATCTTTATCGACACCTTGTACGTATTTTCTATACATGTATGGATTCGAGGAGCCACTTGTACTTATGGTCCCGTGGGTGTGGTACTTTTTTTGTTTTTTTTTTTTTTTTCTGTTTTCTTCAAAAAAACACGTGACAATTCGTAAATTCAAACACACGAGAGACACTTCAAGGATTTTTCAGTCATTCAATCGATCGAAAATATTAAAATATTCTTATTATTCAAAACACTCATCGAAACGCGAAACCACTGAAACATTTTAAATATACATATATATATATATTTTTTTCATGCTCACAATTGTCATACACGTGATATCAGCAAGAATAAATTCATCGTAAAAAAAGGAAAGTATACGCAAACATCGTGTTGTTATTTTCCTTAATTATTCAAGGGTACGATATTATGCAAACAAGTAACATTATGTTCTCCGTATACGGGAGTAATCTTGTACATCTTACGCGTAATAGTTATAATTCAGGTATCTCATTTGCAGCTTCGAAAGCTCGCTCTTTTGATATGGTGTACAACATCCGACATACACATATATTATTTTCCATTAAAAAAAAAACTATGTATACATTGTACGTTCGAAGATTGTTTGCTTTTAATTTTTGGTACGCGCAATTCCGACGATCGATCGTCACTATCAATCTCTTTCGTATCGAAAAAAATATACCTATACTTCTGTCATATATTATACTTCTTTTGCACACATAACTCTGCGCTCGCGTTGGTATACGTATGTGTACATAAATCTCGAGCCACGTACAACACGTACATGCACGCCCACACGAAACATCTCACCAAACACGTTTAAGGTATATGCTACGCACTAAATATGTTACACAACTATATATTATTATATTATGCCGTTCGCGCGTGTAGGTATTAAAAAACGTATAGAGATTAACTTACGTGAATCCTGGCTTGGGAAGTAACGACGCTACACATATTAGTCATCGTTACGATAAAAATTTGTAAGGAATAAAAAAAAAAAAAAAAAAAAAAATGAAAAGACGTGAGGAGGGAAACGACGTTTGGTCCGAACGTGAGTACAATGTGCGAGTAAATGGTAAAAGATAGCGGATTCTCGTAAAAAAGATACAGGGGCGATTCGCACCTTTGACGTATACGTATATAATATATGTATTAGGTATATGTAAGTGCATACGTATACACGTAATAAAACTCATGAAAACGTGTGGAATATGCGTAAAAAAAAAAATTTGGGTAACAAAGAACTCGTATTTACACGAAAAAACAGAGCCCAAAGGGCGGGGTGGACAACCCACTCCTCGAGACTGCACATCATCTCCTCGTAGTCTTTTCGCCACTCGTACACGCGTGTATCGTCACTTTGATTTACTCGTCGTCCCTCGGCGGACAAAGGAGCCGTGGATCGTGGCGTGGCTGGACCTCGCACATCTGGTCGATGGCCGTGGCCACCGCCGCTGCAATGACCGTAGCCCGCACCGGCTGGGGTGGAGGCTGCTGCTGCGACGACGATTGCTGACCGCGCAGCTGTGACTGCGCGGTGGCCTTATCTCAGACCTTGCTCTCGGGGCCGTCGGCCGTGTGCTTAAACGAGTTGCGGATCTTGCTGAGGTGCAGCGCCGCTATGTGGCCGTAGCTCTTGTTGTACCACTCGGGTGTGCGGCCCCTGCAAGGAAATCGGAGTTATACATATGCATATCGATGTTTAACGTGTCCTTGGAGCTTTACGTGTTTTTTTTTTTTTTTTTTTTCGCGTTACTCACTTGGTGTCGACTCTGGACAGGTGCATGATGCGCGACTTGCCGCTGCCGCAGTGCTCGATGAGGTAGCGCGAGGCGAGGACGATGCCCCGCGTACCGCCGAGCATCACATTGGCGTCCGGGTGCTCCACCGACGTCTCCACGATGACGCACGCCTTTTTCGGCAAATCCGTCTGCCACGTCCTGAAAATCGTGTTTTCTTTGTTTTATTCCACGTGAGTTTGGTTTTGGAAAGTCACGGGGTGCATAAGGGAGAGTGAGAAAAACAAAAAAGGACGTTCAACCGATTCACTCGGTATGCAGCTTTGAAAAAAATACGGCACGCGCCTCCGATGAAAAAAACGAAAAAGGTGTGTTGCCGGTGTATGGAACGGGTGGGGCCTTGTGTTATAATACAGGTGTACAGAGGCCCGTAGAGAGTAAGACACGAACCTGAGGACGCAGTAATCGCGTGCGGGCAGGGGACTCATGTTGCCGGTGGCGTACTGAAAGACCTCGGCGTTGGTGTCGAGCTTCACGACGAGCCGGTACTTTAGGAGCTGCGGATCCCATATGTGGCGCTCGCGCAGCACCCGGTGCAGCAGCTCCTCGGGCGGCGCCTCCACCTCCGTGCTGACCCGCCAAAGCCTCAACGGGTGGCCGTCGCCCACTTTCTTGTACCCCATGTCGACGCTCGCGTCCGCCGGATGGTTCACCGACACCCAACCCCGGCTCCTGCAATTGCACACACACACACACACGTTTGTTATATTATACTTTGTCACATCCAAGCAACGGTGCAAATACTGACTTTTCGCGGCCTTCCTTGAGGAGGGCCGACGTGCAGGCGTACATGTAGCCCCTCCAGTCCTGCTTGAGCTCCGAGCCGAGCTCCTCCAACGGGACCGGGACGCTCTCCTCCATGTAATTGAACCGACACTGCGTCAGCATGTCCGAGGATACCTGAGGGAGCAAACATGGGATTACTTACTCGGCCCTCGTATACCCCCACTTGCACGTGTTCATCGACGCGAGGAGTCACACGAGAAAGAAAGGAGGGAAAAAAAAAAACAAACTGTATGCACATATCGATATCGAAAGCGGACAAATAAGCAACTCGCGCTGCAATCTCATGATTTCTCCGGCCCGAAGGATGGACGGACCGATGCAGAAAGATAGAAATCTCCCAGGTGTACATGTATATATGCATGTATGGTTTGGGGGAAAAAAAACAAAAAGAAAAGAAACCGATGCAAAAATAAATATATTCCATGCGCGCTCGAGAGAGAGAGAGAGCGCTTCCGCATAACTCCGACTCGTTTCTCTGCGTTGCGACGTGTATGTGTGTCGCGCGGGGTGAGCTCACCATAAACAGATCACGATGCGTCTTAATAAGGTAGAGGAGGCAGTCGTGGGCCGCTTTGTTCTCGGATAGCTCGCGCTGGTCGGGAATGCCGACGGTCTTGCGGCGCCGGGGGGACACGCTGTTGGACCTGTTGCTGGCTGCGACGCTCGCGCTGCTGTGGCTGAAGTGGAAGAGACTCGGGGCAAGGCAGACCGCCAGGTTGGACGCGGTCATCTGGTTGTAGCACGAGTTGGCGGCCACGTGGTTCAAAAAGTCGAGGAGGGTCTCGAGGGCCTCGCGGTGCTCGTCCGGCAACAACAACAGGACGCACTGCACCGCGTCCGGGCGCAGTTCCACCGGCACGTCTGCAATAGTCAACAATTATTATTCAATCATCCTTTCACCGAAATGACGATGACGCAACTCACGTTGGAAGATGGCGATGAAGGTCTCGGAGAGCTTGTTGGTGAGCAGGGCCTCGGGCAACTCGCGGAAGTACTGTTTGACGAGATCGGCGACGTCGAAGGCCTGCTGCCCGTCAAAGTTGATGTTGTCCCCTTGGGCCTCGGTCATGGCCTTGAGCCTCTGTATCCGCGATCTGACCCCGCTCTTCCGGAATATGCCGACCTGATCGAGGGCGTTGGCCCTCAGCCACCTCAACGCTATCTGGACGCACTTTGGCAGGGCCTGGCCGGTCCTCTGGAGCGACAGGAGCAACGGCACCCCGAACACGGTCTTGTCCTTGTAATCCGGCGTCTTGATCTTGCGTATGAACTTGGGCAGCTCCCAGTTCCAGCCGGTCCGGTGGGTCGGGCAGTAGCGCTCCATACAGGCGGTGAGCTTGAGTAGGGCGAGCTTGCGCAGGACCAACAACTGGCCACACGACATGGAGGCCATGGCTCGGGAACAGAGGAGCTGGTCGAGGGGCTCGGGGTACAACGAGCCGCGCTGAAAGCTGTGCCACCTGACCACGTTGCCCTTGTGCCTTGGCGAGTCCTCCTCCTGGTCCGAGTCTCGGCTAGCTGCCGTCGAACTGCTCTCCTGGCTGACCACCTGCTGCTGAGCCGACTTGTCCGTGGTGGCTCGGTAGACAGTGACCTCCTTCTTCGCGACGACGACCGCCTCGTCGCTGCGCTGGTGGCGGAAGCTCTTGTGATGGTGGTGGTGGTGGTGGGCTTTGTCCTCCTTGGCCGACGACGACAACTTGTCCCGGTACCGCTGCGACTCCTTTCCCAGGTTCAAGCTACCGCCCCGCGTGCTTATCACCGACGCGTTACCCTGACGCGCGGACCTCCCCCCCGAATCCTTCGCCACGTACTCCAACACCTGCCGATTCATATTTTCCACATATATAATACTCGTGGTTGCAAACTATAGTATACCTGCGTGGGGGGGGGGGGGGGGGAAAGAAGGTGGCGTACCTTGGCGTTGTTGCTGTTGGCGTCCTTGAAATACCGGTGCCTCCAGCTGCTGGGCTGGCACTCGGAGTCGCTGAGCGCGCCCTGGTCCTCCCTGATGCCCCGGTGCAGTAGCCTCTTGGCCCTGGTGACCTTGGTCTTGGGTGCGGATATCGTGGTGGGCGGGCCACCGCCCTGGGACCCGTCGGAGCAGTAACTCGACGAGTCGTCGCCAAAGGGACTCGCCACGGTGCTGTTGGTCCCGGCCAGGGGCGACGGTGGCAGGTGGAACGAGGGCGATGAACCGGGCAGCAGGCCCAAGGGGGGCGAGGAGGACACCGGGGGCAGGACGAGGTCGGCGAACGAGACGGGGGCTTGGCCCTCGGTGGGCGACACGTCGACGCAGTTCAGGTCCTTCATCTTGCGCTGCATGGAGACGACGTCGAGGATCTGGGGCCCGCTTATGACGACCCCGTCCCTGTTGTGGTTGTGCTGGTGTTTTCTCCGGCGGGACTTGAGGCTCTCCATGCGCCGGAGGAAGGCCTTGGCGCCGTCGCGGAGGCGCTCGGAGCCGGTGCGCCGGAAGCGGGGGCTGCCCATGTCTTCGGGGAGGGCGCCGGGCGGAAGGGTGTTGCGGTAGCGCAGCGAGTCGAGCATCGTGTCGTCGGCCTCGTCGTGCTCGAGGCGGTCGTCCGAGCCGTCGTCCTCGGAGCCGTGCTGTTGGCCGGCTATAGCTTGTAGCCGCTCAACGGTGCCGGAGGTGATGTCGCAGACCCGCGACCAGCGACGGGTCTTCTTCTCGAAGGTCCAGTTCTCGCTCAGGGCGCACTGGGTGTCCTCGTCCGAGTCCTCGCCGCCGTTCACTTGGTGGCCGGTGGTCGGCCTTCCGCTACCCACGCCTCCGACGCTCCTTCCCTCCTGCAACACGAGTCACGAGAACCATTGTTTAATCATACCTTCACTCTTTGCTCAATAACACAACTATATCTAATATTTTAATTTAAACGACGGTGCGAAATTGAAAAAAAACGCGACAGTATGGTATTATTCTTGTAGGTCTCGAGAGAGAGACGGACGCAGAAGCCATTCCCCCGCTTTGCTCCTCTTCTTCTTGTTTATCCCTTTTCTTACACCCCCCCCCCTCCCCTTCAACCCGTTCGTCCCGCTGCGCGTCACACGGCTCGCATTCGCCATGCATGTATATATACTCATTACACGGGGTGTCGCTGTACACCTATAATGCATGGGAAAACCACTCGAGCAAAACGAGAATCGCGTGCGCCAGAGCCAAACATCCTTCTCCTCCCCCTCCTCGGGAGAGTTACCCTGTAACATATATGTATAGGTATACACGGGGTAATGTTCGTGGTGTCGGCTTGAATACATGTATACCGTGAGTCACCTGATAATGCAAGGATGAGTTTTCGGTAAGACGAGAGGATCGGGAGAGTCAGACCTCTGCATCCTCCCTACACCAGCGGGTGGATTTTCTTTCCTGCCGATATGGCCGTTGGAATTTTTAGTGTTGGATTGTGTGTCTGTTTTTGCGTTGTCGCAGTGCACGCGAGAGTGGGGAGTGGCTGCTGTACGGCACGAGGCTCATCAGGTGGGCGATAAAATTTTTCGACAAAGGAATGTTAAGCGTAACGAGGAAGCCTCGCAGGGTCATTAGTATTTTTCGTCGGCGGTGACAAAATCACACGCGTTGTTTGCTTCGAACAATGGCGCAGTACTCGTTATATTCTTTTTTTTCTCTCTTGCTTTTTTCGTTGACGAAAAAAAAAAAAAAAGAAGGGAAATTAATAGACGGCTAATTGATTTCCATGTATTTTTTACACGGCGCTGCTCAAAAATAACACCTATGTATATATACCTTATATCGAGCAAGCTAGTCGGGCTGCACTTACACAACACCGTTTGACGAGATAAGGAAAAGAAATCAAATGATGCATAAGTACTTGTTCATGTGTATGTTTACACGAAGGAAAACCAACAAGTATAGTTGAGTATCTGCAATTCGTCAGAGCCGAGCTGTAATGAATGAATTTGGTGGTGATGAGTCACGCTTACGTACTTTGTCCCATTTGCCACAAACATTTGGCCCATTGTGTTACAAAGTGCTGACTAAAGAAAAATATGACGGTGAAGACGATAAATTAGAAATACCATCGCCTGAGAAGTATAGAAATGCAGGATGTAATAATGGCGTGGGCGATGAAAAACGATTGGATTCTCGTTTGGCTCGCGATCCGTTCCATGAAATTCTATGACGGACTCGCGACAAAAGAAAAAACACACGTGGATCTCGGCGAAAAGTAAGAAGGGAACAAAAAAAGAAAAAAAATTCTTATCCATACCCATTTGTGGTGAAGGAAAGTGCGATTGACAATCGTGGCCATCTTATACGTAATCACCATCTTTGCACTGTTGCTCCGACACCTTTGTCCGTATTTTACGCTACCACGATACGATTCTATTCAAAAAAATCCGACTACATTAAAACGCCAACGAAGTGGATACCCCCGAAACATCGATCAAACTGCAGGAGTCGAGCGACCGTTACATAAAACCGTTGAAATTAACGCTGGCAACAGCGTACCTTATCTGCATTGCTTAATTGACCGTACAGCGTTATCGTCATTTTCTAAATCCCCTCCAATATCGATAGATCACAGCTTGACGAAAACATAGAAATTTCGACGTTCCAACACACGTACTTTTCCACAGGACACACCCACACATTTATTCCCGTACAGTGGCTAAATTGTAGTCAAACATGGCAAAAAAGTGATGCTTGTCCTAGTACTTGACAATCCTCCGCGAGTCTTTGATGGTGTCTCTCTTCTCAAAATACCAATATTAATATACATACATACATACACACTTTATCCCAGCAAGAGAGAGAGAGAGAGAGAGCGTAAGTAGGCCACGTTAAAAATACCAACGCCGCGTGTGTGTCGTCGACTTTTGGTTTGCTCATGCAGCCGGGCACTGCATATAGGCTAATACATCTGCAAGCACTGCAACAGATCAAGCAAGAGAGCGAGAGAAGAGGGGTCGAGGACCGCGGCGGGCAGGAGGTTGCGAAATCAGACGGAGGATCGCCCACGCGCCACCGGAATAGAGCTGCCTCGGGCTTTTTCCTCGCGACAGCGCGAAGCTGTTTGACGAATAAATCCATACGTGTGTACATAATTGTTATTTGCGCACCTTTTGCGCGTTTAGAGCAAGTTCAGGGTGTGTGGGCGGGTGACGCTACTACTGAGTTACCCAATTCTTCCAAAAGGCGTGCGTATACCTATACGTAAAATTTATGAACCAGAAATTCGGGAATCCTCTGATCCCACGTGGTTTTCCTTCCCTGCAATGTGCGTGTGTATACTTAATCCCGATGATTTAGTCGTTGGTCGTGCTTTGGATAATTATGCGCTCGCTCTTTCGTTAGTTTCAGGAAGCAAACGTATACAGTATTTTATAACGTAGGTGTACCATCGAGAGTCTCTGAATTTCAAAAAGGCGTATAAAGGATTGGACTACAGAGTAAAGGTGACACTACTGATTTTTGGTGGAATATATACAATTGATTTGGCTCCTACTCTGTTTAACCAGTAAGAGAGCACTCGATGTGTTTAATTGTAAGTCAACGAATAATGAAGATGTATGGCTAAGATCTCATCAGCACCCCAAGGCTTACTGATGAGCAGGTCTTGAAATTACCGTTGCTTGAATGACAGTTGAAATAATAAGCGAGGAGTTGTATATGATTACAATATTTAGTAGGAATGAATTAACATGTAGTAATATAATAGGACGAAGAATAATGATGGTATGGTGATGAATGAGAGTTTTCGGTGAATGATCGGTAATGGCTTTTATATTTTTAATTTACGAGTACAGCTCAATCGGGTCGTTTTTGCTTCGAAAATCGGAATGAGACAAAAATGAACCTCTGAATTTCCTGATTTATGAAAATGGATGAGAGACAAACTCATTTTTCACGAATCGTTTGAACAAAAGTAGGTATGAATCGATCAAATATAGGAAAATCGATTCCGAAGCAAAGGCGAAAAAAAAAGGAGGTGGAGGAGGAAGCCGGGGGTGCAGATTCTTTTACCGATTTCCGAGAAAATCGGTAAGGCCTACTCACCCACCCGAGGGAGCCGAAAATAAAGCTCGCCGGGCTAAAAATACCCCGCAAATAAGCGAAAGCGTTCTATTAGCGGTGACACGAGAGACACGCGAAGGTGCGCTCTCTCGAGGGTTTCGAAAAGTCCGCGTCCGAAAATTAGGTCGACCGCTGCATACGTGCGACATTATATACATTAGGTATTATACGCCGGGTAGAGATGACGTCAAACGCCGGTATATATGGCCTCTGTACAGTTTTTCAATTCTGTCTTTCGTCATCGATGCGAGACATGCTTGGAATAATATACGTACACCCACAGGTGTCCCTTTTTATACGGAATATATATATTTTCAAGGGGATTTTCGTCTTTGCTTTACTGAATTTTCATAAGTTGGCTTGGGCTTTTTCATTTGGTAGCTCCTCTCGGAACGAGAAAACACGTGTATTACAAACGCGCGCGATTAATCCTCGCGGGAGCTCTTCCCGCCCTGGGATACTGTACCCGCTGTGATCAATATTCAAAACGGATTTCAAATAAATATTCAAGTAGGGCGGATCCGTGTATTTTTTAGACCCGCGTTGAAAAAAAAAATCTGATTAATGTCACCTCCTCTTATACTTTTCTTTTTTTTTTTTCAACGAAGTGTATATTTGTACACGAGAGACAGATCGACCTAATTCTTTTTTTTTGTAACCACTCGACGTCTCACCTCGACACGACTGTTTACATAGAATTAATAACAATGTCGAGGTGATACATTATGTTCCCGAATCATTGATTGACGATCTCTGGCCCCTCAAAACGTAACGATCCGTTACAAAGAGAAAACATATCATAATAAACCGAAGAAGCATCAGCAGCGCTTTTTCCAGAAGAACAACAATAACAACAACAACAAAATTCTAATCTACTGACCCAATTAGCAGTGGCCTAGAAGCCTTAAGCTCCAGAAATAATGGCCCGTATTTACTATCTTTGCTGATCCCTAGCCCCTTACCAACGACTTGTGAAATTAATATTTCTCCCGTGGCTCCCGTACCTACGTAACCAACTCTATATATCGACAAAAGCTCATTAACCAGGTGTACCTGTATCTGTGTGTGTACACATTGAATGGTACCACGAACAGCCGAATCGTGACCCAATGCCGTTGTATACTATATACCTGTGCCCATATGCACACGGTGCTTATCTCTTAAGCGCCTTACGTGCACACACGTTCCTCATCCCGTGTGTATATATACGATGGCTCCCATCGGTTACCAGCTCATTCCGCTGTTACAAGTACGTACGGCGAGAGGCACACAACATCATCATCCCCGCGCGGAAATATATATCCCTCGTTTAGAAAGTCAGCGGCTTCCGAATAATAAAGCCCATGACATACGACGTTTTCCCGTTGTACAGCTGATGCCGCGGCTGCATAGCTGCTAATATCTTATTTACCGATTCCGCGATTCATCAGAGAGTCGCCAGGCCATACAGTATACCCGCCACAAAGCGATGACAATGGGAAGCCTCCACCTTCATGCAGCGACACTCATTGTTATATACTCTTTCCGCCAGCGGGGCTTTTCGTATCGCGGACCGTACGCGCATCTTGACGACACTGTGTATATAAATGTACGCGTACACAGATGCGGGGGTGGGTGGGGGGATAGGTATCTGTGATGTGTTAACATTTGTTCCTATGGCGAAGAACATTCCTTCGGCGGTGCCAGGGGTTTTGCGCGACTCGACAATGCGTCTCTCGAATCTCGCCGAGAGACTCGCGGCTCGTGGTGCTTT